AGCTTCTCTAGCCATTCGTTTGTTGATGGGCACTTAGGTTGTTTCCAACTCCTTGCTATTGTGAACAAAGCTGCAATGAACATGGGTGTGCATTATCATGTACATTTGAGTTACAAGTTTATAATACTGAAGACTGATTTCTTTTGAAAAATATCTTCACATCGCCCTAATACTAGCTTTCATCTGGCGTGTGGGCAGGAATGACAGATGCACTCCATGACTACAAAGTCTAGCACCCAAATGACCTAGACACTTCAATGTTCGCTCCCCTTTGCGATGTCTCTCTCAAATAGAGATATTTATTCTCTAGGTGGTTCAGAATTGTAAACTTTTAAAAATTGCTTTATGTTACTATAATTTTTGTAGCAGTGTTTTTCTGTTGTTCCTTTCTTTACTCTTAGTTTTCTGTTTTCCTCCATGCTTTGTTATAGTTTACATTGTATAGTTTGTTACAGAAACATGTGTTTTAAATAGACTCCCCTGAGTAAAAAATAAGGATCTCTAGAAGACAGTCAACAAACTAAATTTCTTTTGGCTCTTCTGTTTTACTAACTGAATTTCTGTTTTACAGTGGGGTTCCAGTGTGTTTCTGTGTTATAAGAAGTCTGTTCCTACTTCTAATGCGATAGCATATAAAGCTGGTGAGTACATTTTTTAAAAGTGTAGTTATTGGTGCATATTAGAAGATTATGTAGCCATTTTTATGTAGTTGGTGAATTAATCTGTCCATAAAATTGAATTTTCTGTGATTCTAAAATATGAAGGCATAAGTTTTCTTAAATACATGGACTCCAAGATACATTAATATCCCCTCCCTCCCCTTACACATGCAAATATACTCTTAATTACATTTGAATTTTCATTAAAAATGTGGAATAAACATTAAGCTTCTGGTCTGCACCAATAGATTTAACAAACCAGTGGAAAATTGCTCTGACTTTTTTTGTATCTTGGCAATCAGAAGGTGTCAAACTACATCTTTACTTCTTATATTTCCTTCTCTTCTGTGTGTCTGATTTGAAACCCCATGTTTCTTGCCATGAAAAGTGGACTTGCTTCCCTTCTCCCTTGTTGCAAAGAGTCTGCTGTTGTGGAGGTGAGAAGGGCCAGAGAAACTTTTCTGCCATGAAGTGTGTTTGAGAAATCTGTTGCCATATTCTTACAACACAGTAAAATGTTAAGGGCAGTAAAGATTTAAGCGTGACTTCTTCAGCCCACTGGTTTGGTGGGATTAAAATTGAACGTACAGGTGTGCTCCAGTTGAAAATAGAAATCGTACTGGACTACTACTGTGGGAAAAGCAGTGGTGTGCATTACTGAGTTTCATTGTACACAGGTCTTCTAAGTGGTATATCCCTGGTCTGTCCATTTGCTGTCCAGAGGTAACTCATGGTTGCTGTGATGCTGAACACTGTGACACTGATGTGTCAAATGTGATAATGGCTCCCCATGGTGGACAGTGTTTGGTGGAGCTTCCCGGTTAAAACAATTTTTGAAGCAGGAGTGGCATCCACTTCCAAAATGGCTTGCCTCCGGAAATTCTATGAACAGTGCTCAGGTCTTCCGTTCATAAGGTTGCTGTGAGTTGTCTACGACTCGATGGCACTTAACAACAACAACAAGTATAACTCAAAAAAATGAGGCAAATTCATGTCTGAAAAATTTTTGTCGTCATGAAGACATTCTAATGAAGAAAACCATTTCATTTACAATAAAATATATGTGGCAACTAACAATAAATTTTAAAATGAGATCTGTTCATACTGTTGTAATATGTTAATTTGTGTGATTCCTTAATTTTATGACCGGAAAGCAGATGTCATTTAAAAAAAATCTAGAAACAAGCTAACCACTAACTGAATCAAATTACTGAGATAGCCCATACTTGTTCCTGTATATTTCGTGTTATTCTCCCAAAGTGTTGATATTATGTGTAAGAAAATACATTGAGTGTCCCGTTGAATACATGTCTGTCAAAATTAATGCAAAATCTATGGGTTGAAAACATTCATTAAAAAGTTTTTTATAAAATGAGAAACAAATCTAGAATGTCACAATTAAATATATCTGAAATGTAGTATTAAATTCTCTTATCTGTACCATAAGCAATTTGTGTGAATGTTAACTATTTGTTAAAATGTATTGTCTTTTCTTTTCTCTAAAAGGTTTGCTTTTTAGATATCCAGAGGATGACTATGAGTCATTTCCCCTCTCAGAATCTGTACCTCTCTTCTGCCTTCCGATGGGAGCGACTATTGAGTGCTGGGATCCCCAAACCAAATACCCGCTTCCAGTATTTTCAACCTTTGTACTGACAGGTTCTTCTGCAGAAAAGGTATATATTTTTACCTCTTTGACCTGTTGTTTTCCCATGTTCTTACTCCAGAAATTAGGAGTATGTTTCATTTGAATGTGGGATATTTGGACCTGATAAATTTTTATTTAAATTTATATTCTCTAATGCATCAGGACAGTCTGCTGTCAGAAACCTCTTCAAAGTACTGAAAAGTAACAGTGTCAGTCTGGAGACTAAAGTGCAACTGATATAGGTTATGGCCTTTGCAATCACTTGCTATGCATCAGAAAACTAGACAATGTCTAGGGATGATAGAAAGAGAATTACTGCCTTTGAGAAGGGTATTGAATATACCATGGACTGCTAAGAGAAGTTCATCCTGGAGAGGGTGATGCCAGGCTGCTCCTTGGAGGCGAGGATTCTGAGACTTTGTCTGACATATGTTGGACATCTTGCTAGGAGGGACCAGTCCTTGGACAGGGACATCATGCTTGGGATGGTGGAGGGACAGCACAGGAGAAGACCCAGGATAAGATGGATTCACTCAGTGACTGGAGCAATGGGATTAGGTCTTTCAGAGACATTGAGATTGGCTCAGGACAGGGCAGGGTTTGTCACAGGTGACTTGGCACATAACACCACCACCAATGCATCAGGAATGCGTCCTATCTCCATATGTTTGCAGTCTGTATGAGGAACAAATAATTTTTAAGGCTGGACTTTATGAGGAGGAATGTGGCATCAGGATTGGTGGAAGACTCATCAACAACCTACATTAAACAAATGACACAGCCAATCTTGCTTGCTGAAAGCAAGGAAGACTTGAAGCGTTTGCTGCAGAAGGTCAAAGACTTCAGTTTGATTTAAAGCTCAACATCAAGAAGACAAAGATTCTCACCAGTGGGCCAGTTGGTAGTACCATGATAGATAGAGAAGAGATTGAGGTTGTTAACAGTTACAGCTTGCTCGACTCCACATTCATGAAATCAGAAGACAAATTGCACTGGGGAAATCTGTCAGGTACTTCTCCAAAGTGCTAAAGAGCAGCGATGTCAGTCTTGAGACTAAGGTGCACCTGATTAAGGCTATGGTCTTTACAATTACTTGCTATGCATCAGAGAGCTGGACAGTGACTAGAGATAACAGAAGAAGAATTGATGCCTTTGAGTTGTGGTGCTGGAGAATAGTATTGAGCATACCATGGACTTCCAAGAGAACAAACAAGTCTGTCCTAGAGAGAGTAAAACCAAGCTTCTTCTTGGAGACAAGGACTTTGAAGCTCTGTCTTATGTACTTTGGGCATGTGGCCAGAAAGGACCAGTGTCTGGAAAAGGATGCCATGCTTGGAAGGGTGGATAAGACGACCCCGGATGAGATGAAATGACACTGTAACTAGGGTAACAGGGGAGACAGACAGAGTTCTGAGCCTATTGTACATAGGGTTGCTCTGAGTCGCAGGCAGCTTGATGGCACATAACAACAGCAACGCTAACAGTGAGAACTAACAGTGATAAACAAGCATGTTCCCTGTAACTTGTACAGAAGCAAACACAAAACCTCTCTAGAAGAGACGTCCTCAAAACCTCAGCATCAGGAAAAGATTGTGGGGATAGTGAGAGGACCCAAGCACCAGAGAAAGGATCAGATACCATGGAAAACTGAGACCTTTAAAGGCCTTGGATTGAAGGATATTGCAAGTTATACATATAGTTAAAATATATAAAGTCCTAATGGAAGGACTCAGAACATCAAGGAAAGTACAGGACATTCAGAAGTGAATAAACAGAAAAGAATCATTGGGTGTCTAGAAATGAAAAACACAAAACATGTAAAAGAAGCTTAAGAATAGAGAAGGTAGAATCAGAAAGTCCAAGTTTTGTTGTTGATGTTTTTCAATACCACACGTAGCTTTATTTCACTGAAAGGGCCATAAGTACCGTCAAGAATATTGAAATTTAGCATTGAAATGTGTGACACTTTACCACACATTTAAGGGAAACTTTAAAATACATTCTCCAGGATAGGAGCTGAGCATCATATCTAACCAGTGTTTCTAACCCTGAGATAACTTAGCAAGTGAAATAATTATTAGTAGGAGCTGGTTTCTAAGGCTCTGTGTAAACATTACAGAAGCAGACTGCCAAATAGAGTACCTGGTAGAGTTGAACCTCTGACCTTTTGGTTAGCAACCTAGCACTCCTATTCAGATCAATAGGATTGAGGAAATCAGAGATGTTTGACTTCAGTTTATTGTAGGGATTTCAAACACCAACTTCATTTTCCAAGATGATGCCAGGCATGGAAATGTGTCTTGATGATCTGGTGTTTCTCTGGTAGAAATACCCCAAATAGAGGGCTTTAACAAACAGTATATTGAGTCATAATTTTAGAGGCTAGAAGTCCAAAATCAGGGCAGTGGATCTTGGGAAGGGAAGACGTTCTTCAGTCTCTCTGTTGGCTCTGTGGGAAGTCTTAGTCATTCATCTTCTCTTCGACCTTGGGGTTTCAGCATAGGAACTGCAAGTGCAAAGGACGTAATCCACTCTGGATCTTTTGTTGCGGTGATTGAAGATCCCCCTAAATACTGCTCACTTGGTCAGTTTCTATTATGTCCCAAAAGAAATTGACTCAAGATACAATCTGATTCTAAGGAAAGGGGCGGGGTGGGGGGAATCCCATAAAGATATACTGTAAAACTGTAAATTATATCCTGCCTCATATAATTGCCACTAATGGATCAATAATTGGCACTCTTGGTACCAGTAATCAGAAGAGCAAGAGATGCATTGCATCGAGCTTTTAAGGACCTTCCCAAAATACTGAAGAACATTGATGTCAGTTTGATGATTAAGGTGCACCAGATTCAAGCTGTGGTCCTTGCTGTTACTTAGTACATGTCTGAGAGTTGAACAGTGAATAAAGATGACAGAAAAAATGATGCCTTTGAGTTGTGGTGCTGGAGAAGAGTACTGAATACCCCAGGGACTGCCAAAGGAACAGACAGTTATGTCTTACATAAACTGCAGCCAAAAGTGCTCCTTGGAGGCAAAGATGGTGGAGCTTTTTCTCTCAGACTTTGGACATGCTGCTAGGGGAGGCTGTTTTTTGGAAAGGGACATCATGCTTGCAAAGGTGTGGAAGGCTGGTGAAAGATAGGAAGACCTCAGCAAGGATTGACATAGTGACTCTCGATGGACTCCAGTGTGTCAGAGATGATGAGGCTGTCATATGATAGGACACAGGGTCCAGGTCTCTTCATAGGGTCACTATGAGTCGTTCTCAACCCAGCGGCACCTAACAGCAACAGTCCTGGTTCATTAACATCATAGAGGATTCATAACACATCAAAACAAAAAAAAAATACTTGTGTAAGAATTAAGAATCATGGTGGCTAACTCTGGACTCACATTTTGAGGGCACAATTCGATATATAATGAGTGGAAAAACCTGTTAATATCCAGCCCTGGAGTTATCATTTCCCTGTGGAGGGATGTTTAGCAAACGCTGACAACACAGATTTCACTATCAAATCCTGGCCCTTGCTGGAGATAAGCCAGCTAAGTGTGAGATGCGGTTCCGGTTCCGGTTCTGCTGCAATGAATGAAATAAACTTCCCATTCTTTAGTTTGTTTGTTTTTTTTTTAAATTTAGGTTGTTTATTTTTCATTTCAGTGAACATCTACAGAGATTTAGTTTTAGTCACACCCTCAGGGCCATTCCTGCTGAGGGACACAACCGCTTTGAAGCCCCAGGCACTAATCATAAGGACCAAGGAAGGGGCACTTGGCTTCTAATACTGGAAACATTACAAAAAGATCAAAATTTTAAACCAAAGTGCTTTTGTTGTTGTTATATACCATTGAGTTGTCTGCAACTCATAGTGACCCTATATACAACAGCCCTAAAACCTGCTCTATTCTGTGCCAATCTTATTGTCTCCGGCACACTTACCTCCATTACCCCCGTCACCTAATCAGTCCATCTCATTGAGGGAATCTTCTTCTCCTGCACTGTCCCACCACCCTCCCAGCATGACATCCCTCTCCAAGGACTGAACCTGCCTTGCAACATGTCCAAAGTATATCAGACAAAGCTTCTGTTTACTTTATTCCTATTGAGGATTGATTTCCAGTTATGTTTCTGAAATATGATTGAAGTGAAAATATGGTAATCTTGGCACTGTCTTCTTGACAAAAAGAAGACGAAAAAGGGTCAATCAATAGGAAAATAGGTTCCTTTAAATATTTACTTCACTAGAGTCTTGACAGTGTGTCTGTCTGATTTGGTAGTTAGCTACTCTTTGACTTTTATATCTGATAAGGACTTCTAATTAACATATGTAGATGGTATTGCTTGACAGAGCAGAAACTAAAGCCACGAAAAGCTAAATTCCATTTGACTAAAAAATAAAAAATTATAGGCTACAGTTTTATGAGCCCCTTGTTTCAGAGTTGTAACACTGTTGCAGAGTGACGTAACACTGTTGCAGAGTGACGTTCTCAGCACTCTCATTGCCATCTTGTTAGAGCTGACCCTACACAACTGACTCTCCAGCAGGCTTTCTGGGGCTGAGAATCGCCTGGGAGGTAATAGCCCAGCTCTCCCCCACAAAGCTGCAGGTGGATTCGAACCCTGGGAGAAAGAATGAGCTGCCACTAGTTAGCAGCAGCACAACTCACTGATGGACCAGGTTAGCGATGTAAAAACTCACAGTGTGGTCAAATAAGAAAGTAAGTTGCAAGATGCTTTTTGGTGGATGTCTTTTGTTTAAGATACATGACAGCATAGTGGGTTAAGTGTTGGACTGCTAACTGAAAGGTAGGCAGTTCGAACCCACTAGGCAGTCCTCAGGAAACTTGAGGCCATTTATTCCTGGGAAGATTCTCAGTTTTGCAGACTTCCTGCAGGTATCCTGCACTGTTCTGTATGGTTGCTGGACATCAGAATTGACTGCAGGCAGCAAGTAAGTGGTTAAATGTGTAACTACAGTGGAAAAAAATTTAGAGCAATTTACGTTAAACTCTGGTTGATTTTAGGTTAGAATTTTGGGGGCTTTTATTTGTTTTCAATGTGTCTGTGTCATATATGTGTGTGTGTGTCACTCTGAGCAGATATTCCTTGTGAAGTAAGAGAAAATAACTTCTAAGAGCAAATGTACATTTTTTTGCCAATTCTTTTATTCTGTAGGTTTATGGAGCTGCCATCCAGTTTTATGAACCTTATTCTCGGGACCTTCTAACAGAAAAACAGCTTATGCAACTGGGCCTGGTGACGCCTGTAGAGAGAAAAATGGTCTCCAAATCCATCAATTCAAATAAATGCATTTGTTTACTCTCACATTGGCCTTTTTTTGAAGCTTTTAGAAAGTTTCTTATGTTTATCTACAAGCTTTCTGTGTCTGGACCACATCCTCTTCCCATTGAAAAGTATGTATAACAATTGAAAGAGCTGTCTAGGGGAGAAACCGGGTGTGCAACTCTTATGTTTCCTCATTTACCTGCTTTTTGACATGGGCAGCAGGGGTGGAGAGGGAAGGAGAGTCACTGGCCCCTTTCACTTGATCCATTCTGTCCTTGAGACATGCATCTGAGTCAGGTGAAGGAATGGTGCATGGCCAAGTACTCTTTGGGAATTCAGCTAAAGAGGGAATTAAAAAATTGTGTTTGTCTTTCTGTTATTTTGCAGTAAGAGAGATAATACCAGCAGTCCAAGTTCTTCTTATAAAACATTTCTAAACTGATGTAGAAATTAGCAAGGATGAGTTAAGCCACATTGAAAAGTGAGGTTTTTCATTCTAGTTTTGACAGAAGTTACCTGTGTTTTTCTTTTTTGATTTGTAGTTACCTTTGTCATGAGAAACTTGTAATCAGGGGAAATACGTGGGGAGCCACCTTTGTCTTTTTTAAATGATATCTTTTCTGGTTTCTAATGGTACACTGATTCTTGTCTAGTCTCGTGTGTAATTTATGTCCCCTGCTGGCAAACCAAGAGTGGGGTGAGCTTTATGAAAATGTTATCGTATATGGAATCACAGATTTTTCTAGGATGTGTAAGATTTTTATACTGTAGAGAGAATATCATCAAAACTATAATAGCTTTGTGAATAAGTCAGTTCACAAAGGAAATAATTATCTGAAAGATTGAAAAGAATTCCACTCAAAAATTAACTTGCAGTATAATGAAGTGTTGTATGTAAACATGTGACAATTCGGTATGGACCGTGGTTTCCACTTTAGTCTTGTTCTCTTGAAGAGCCAGTTTAATAGTCCATATTTCTGAATTTCACTTTGAGCTTTCAGATTAATTTCTAATTTTTTGAAGTAAAACTTAACCTTTTTTGGAAAGACCTTAACAGAGTAGATTGAGATGACATACAGCCATTCATACATATTTTGTTCTGTGGTATTAATTACAGTCTTGACCTATCACTCCTCCCACTGCCTCTGTATCCATCCGCCTTTCATCCATCTCTCCATCCTTATCTTCTTTATCCTTGGACAGATGGCTCCTCCTGTGACCCTGTGTGGTTGAATGTTCTAAGTACAGAGTCTCTCCCTGGTATATCTGTTCACCTTATAGATCTTGTCTGTTGTTTGGCTGAAAGGTCTGCCACAGGGACGAGTTCAGTCCCAGGCTCCAGCAGCTGTTAAGGGTCTTAGAGGTTCCACCAGTTTCTGTCAGGCATGGCCATTACTGTGATTTTGAGTTCTGAGGAAATACGATTTCCAAGTGGAGAAATAGATAAATGGCTAGACCAAAAGTTAAGTAGTAAATCTGTGGTTAAATTCTTTATTGGCGTTAGTTCATTATGTCACAGTTAGTTGCTCTCTTCTGCCAAAATTCATGACTATAAAAGTGAATTTCTTTAAAACTTCATATTTTACTAGGGATAATAAGGAACATTAATATAGGGTTTGTTTTTTTTTTTACTCAAGAAATTCAGAAATTTAACGATCATCAGTACACTTATATTAAGCTTACATATTTGAAATATATTTTAGGTAACTGGCTTTGTTAGATTTTGGATGAAAATAGTCACTGAAATCATGTATTAATTTTGTTAGAAATCACATTACTAAATTACAATTATTTGATTTCAAGTTTTTTTTTTCTAGGCACATTTCACATTTTATGCACAATATTCCTTTTCCTTCACCACAGAGACCAAGGATCCTTGTACAGGTAATTTTTAAAAAGTTTATTTGTGGAATCCTCTGCATACTTTTGTTTAAATCATTGCAGAATGAAATCTGTGGACCTTTGTGTTTGAAGTAGAGCATGATGCGTTGATAAAATACTTGAATATCTTGTATTTTGTTTCTTAAGATCCTTTTGTACTGTTATTTGGATCTTATGTGTGCAAAACTAAAATTAATATTACCTGAAGTTCATGACATTACTAGCAATAATTCATGTTTGCTCATTTTGTTTGGTGGCTGATTTTTATATTTTAAACCTGGAATTATGGGAATGATCTTACTATCAGAACAGTTTAGTAAATATTAACTATAACATGAGCTGAAGTTGGGGAAGGTAAGGGAAATAGTCTGTCCCTAGCAAAGGACGAGTTTTTCCTGTTTCCTCAGTCAGTGGCAGACCTATACATTCACACAGCTTGTGCCGTCTCATTTACCATGTAAGTTCAGTAAAGACATGAACCAACCTGTCTGTGTTTAAAACATTCATCTTATTGTATGCTAAAGCTTACAGCTGTGTCAGATTGCCATCAAAATTCCTCACTGGCTGTTCTCCATTTATACATAATCTCTTCCTGGCCCAGTAACAAGATTGTAAGCTGGCAGTGGGCCATGGACGGGCACTTTGAGTAGCATGATGTAAAGATATAAGATACTTATTTTTCCCCCCTAAAACATTATGCATACAGTATGAAAGGATTAAGTCAGATGTTCGTCTTGACTGTACTTCACTTCAGCAAGTGTCAAACAATTGCCAAGTACTTTCCAACTTATTGAGTAAATAAATTTGATGCTTTTAAAAAGCAGCAGTTCCTTTATTTTAAAATAACTGTATTTCAACCAGTTAACGGAACTAGAATTAATTTGCACTGACCATTTCATGTAAAAGAACTCACACATACCTCAAATTTTACATTTTATTGCACACTGTCTTAAAATGTAGTTTGCTCATTTGTTAAACTTGTTTCCATTTTACCCTTAATCTAGATAGATTACAAAATTTGCTTGATTAATTTTTTTATCTTTCTTTTAAGTTATCAGTCCATGATGCATTAATATTATCACAACCAGTTTCTACACCTTTACCACTAAGGTAATGTCTTTTAAAATTAATGGTATTTTAAATGATAGACTTGGAGTAAATGTTTTAAGATATTTGGGGGGGGTTGGATAATGAAGTATTATTTTACAAACTAAGTAAGGAGAGCCTTAATTGTTTCTGACTTTAAGAGCTGGATAGATGTTAAGGTTCCTTTAAAAATGAGAACATTTAAGACAATTACATCATTGTTGTTATTGTTGTTAAGTGCCATCGAATCGTAGGCAACTCATAGCGACCCTATGAATGAGTCTTGGCACTTGTGTGACTTTCTTCTTTACTCCAGGTTCATAGGGTTTCCGGAGGCAAGCTATTTATGGAAGTGGATGCCACTCCTGCTTCCAGATTACATCATTAGATGTAGGAAATAACTCCTCCTCTATTCCTAGATCTAGTTAATAATTATCTGTTCAAGCTGTATTGAATCCTCAACTTCATTTGAATGCCTAGTCCAGGTTGTCATGATCTCTCACCTAGACCATCTTTTCCTAAAAGTAAACTTAACTGGTCTCCTGACACTCTTCTCTGTTAGTTCTGTATCCACACTGCAGCCTGAGGATACAAGTATAATTGCATCTAGTTCAGTGGAATCTCTTACACTCTGCCTTTCCTTAGAGCATGGTCGCTTTAGCCACAATGGCTTATTCCAGTTTCTTAAACCTGACAAAGATTTGTGCTTGCTTTAGTGTTGTTGCATATATTGTTTCTATTCTCCACTCCCCTCCTTTGAACCCCTGCCTCTAGTCTTTTTCACTCAGCCCAAATGACTATTCTTTAGGAGAATCTTTACTGAGAAACATACTGTTTTCCAGAAATTAAGTTGAAATCATCCAAAGAAGGGCAGTTTGAATCCATCAGTAGCTCCTTGGGAGAAAGATGGGTAGTCTCCTCCTGTGCAGTTTACTGCCTGCTGGAGGGTCAGCTGGAAGTCACCCCGACTCCACATACATAACAACAGTGATGATATTCTTGCTTAGCACTGCGTACATCCTTTATCACTACTCTTACCAGTTTTAAATGTGTGGTAGCTTTTTGTATTAGATTCATGAAGGCGGTGACTAGTTATGTAAAGGGTTTTATTTTCAGTCCCTGGCACAATGTCTGCTACATACACTCAAATATTTGCCAAGTGAATGGACATTCTAGGCATGTTAGGAGAATCAGAAGATATCTGGTATAGCTGGGATGTGGGGTGTTCTGGGGATGATGCATATACTTTCCAAAAAATAGTATGTTGATGAATGTGGGTTCAGAAAATTGTGCAACACTGCAGTGGAAGGTATCCTTCGAAAAGGGATTCTTTTTTTAAGTAGTTTTTCTAATTACTGTTGTTTGGAAAATCCTAACTTTTTAAATAATTTATTATGACTTACCTTAAGTTTTTGGGGGGTTTTGAGCACTCAATAACTTACTCTTTCTTTTATCATTAAATTTGCTCATTTTCAGTGGTAATGAAGTTAGACCTTAATATGTCATCTTAAGATATTTTAGAGAAATCATCCCTTTTTCTCTTTCTTTTCTAGTGGAGCCAACTTCAGTACCTTGTTGATGAATTTGGGCCCTGAAAATTGTGCAACACTTCTCCTCTTTGTTTTACTGGAGAATAAGATTCTGCTTCATTCTCTTAGGCCAGCTGTGTTAACTGGGGTAGCGGAGGCTGTTGTAGCTGTAAGTATAGATTAATTTTTTTAGTTCATAATTACTGAGAAAATTTTCACTCCAATGAACTTTCCTTCAAAGGGAGCAACTTTGTCACTTTCCTAATGATGCCTACTCTTTCTTTCTTTAACATTAGTTTTTCCTTTCTCCTGCTCTGATCATTGATCCCTTTCATGTGATTTTACTTTTTTTCATAAAGCTTAAAAGTTCATGATGTAATAAATAATTATTTTTTAAATTGTGTCTTTTGTTGTAAAAGAGTAAGGGTAGCTTTGAGATGGCTGAATTTGACCTCTACTAATTCCATAAAGGGGACCTACCCCTGCTCCTATCAACAGCATCCACAACACAAAACCAATTCCCATGAAGTCAGACATGTCTACTAACACACTCCAGCACCCTTTCTACTAATTTCAACACAAATTTTACTGCTCTATTTGGTCCAAACTTCATTGCAGTGACTAAACAGACTTTATAGAACCATACTCAGTGGTTATGAGGTTTATTAGTGAAATTGTTAGCAGGCTAAAATTCATGTTAGCAGCAGGGTACAATCCCTTAGTCCATACAGTTTTTCAAGCATAATTGCAGACTCTTTGACCTTCAGCCCTACAGTTTAGGTCAGTGTTAGAAAGTTCCAAAGCCCTGCCAGTTTTGGTGCCTTCTCTCAGTCCTCCAGCAGGTTTGAGTGATGCCCTGTGCCTCCGGCTCTGTGGGGCAGGAGTCCCAGTGAACTCTGTCTGGGATTAGTTTCTGGTTCTTTGACTGCTGCTACTCATTTGTACTTCCTTGTCTGACTGGTCCTGAAGGATGTGTGCTTTTTCCTCTTTCTTATTGGTGTTGAGATTCCCAATTTCAGCCACCTAATCTACTTGAATTAATGTTGAGATTAGCCAGTCCCCTTGTGGATAAACTAGCACTCCCTATTTTTATGATCCCGCCTTATCCATGTGGCAAAGTCAGAATCAATGTCGAGGAAAGGCATTTTGAACAGTAAACCCTTCCCACCACATTTGCTTATTTTCTATTTCTTCCTGTTAGACCAGGTGTCAGCAGACTATTGCCCACAGGCAAATCCTACTGGTTATGTGTTTTTGTAAAGAATTTTTTAAAAAACTAAAACATTACAAGAACAAAGCTCATTTAGTTTCTACATTGTCTAAGATTGCATTCCACCCACAATGGTGAGTGACAATGAGACCATAACATCTAAAATTTTTTATTTCATAGAAAAAAAATGACCAAGTGTTACTCTACCCTGTAAACCATACAAAGGCAAGGGTGCTTTTTTGTTACATGCCCATCATTTAGAACCATGCTTGGCACAAAGTAAGTGGGGTGGTTTTTTAAAAAAAATTTAAAATGTAGCTAATTTCATTTCCTCCCTCCCCAGATGATCTTTCCGTTTCAGTGGCAGTGCCCGTATATCCCCCTTTGTCCCCTCTCACTGGCCGTAGTGCTCAGTGCCCCTTTGCCCTTCATCGTGGGAGTGGACTCCAGGTACTTTGACCTTCACGACCCACCTCAAGATGTTGTTTGTGTGGACTTGGATACAAACATGGTGTATATGTAAGTTGCCTTTCTGTTATCTTCTACTTACATTTTTCCCATAAATACTTACTATAGTTTTTTTAAGACATCTAGAAATGTTAGTTTTGAAAGTTCCTGATAGGTCTTCACATTTAATATGCCAGTTGTCAACCAGGGCAGTTAACAAAATGCAGGAACGCTGTGTAGTTTGGGAAGGGGGAGAAAAGCCATTAAGGGAATAGTTTATGCTAGCTAATGTATTAATTGGAGAGGTTTACATTTACTGAAAAGGGTGGTAAATTTAGAGAAAAATTGTTGAGCACACCTTTCAGAGCTCAAGAGATGATGTAGTTTTTGGTTTAATTCAACTCATATGCCAGGTTTTAAAAATACACAATAAAGTTAATTAGACATTGTAATTAATAAATGGCATCAGTCAGTGGCAATGTCTATGAAGAGCAAGTTATTTGTAAACCTTCACTAAAAAAATATTAAAAAAACATTTTACCCATTTATGATAAAGTTTAAACACAATAATAGAGATTGATATTCCATATTGTTTTCAGTTGTCTAGTGCTAGTTCTTTAGTATTACTATGTTACTGTTGTTGCTGTGTGCTATCCAGTCAGAACCAACTCATAGCTGACCCTCCAGCAGAGTTTTAGAGGCTGTAAATTGCACAGGAGGAGATTGCTCCTCCCATGAAGAAGCAGCTGGTGGATTTGAACCAGGTGCTTTTGGGATTGTAGTGCAGGTTTTTACTACTAGGCCACCAGAGATGCAAGTATTGCTATAGCGTATCACAACAGATGATTTTTTTTTTCTTTTTAAAGAATTGACATTCATTCAGTCGTTTATGTACATTTTGTTTTATAATGTGAATGACAGTTGATCAATGCCATGTATTAAAATGCCTCATCAAATCCTTGCCGTCCTTGCCGTCTCCCTCACCCTATTCTTGCACTGCGTCATCCGCCAGGAGAACAAACAGGTGTGTCTCGGAGATGGTGAAACTTCATCTCACATACTTTGGGCATGTTCTCAGGAAGGGACAGGCCTGGGAAAAGGACATCATTCTTGGAAGGCCATGAAGGAGGGCAAGTCTCTCAGGGAGGTGGAGCGACTGTAACTGTGGGCTCTAGTTGAGTTGATGAGATGACACAGGTCTGGGCAGGATTCAGATCTGTTGTTCATGAGTGGCAGTCAACTGGACGACACCTAACAATGACAATAGCCCATAAGTGGGTGATTTTTAACATACATTTTCTCATAGTTTAGAAGACTATTGTTGGCTGCATAACTGACCCCTCCAGTGGGTTTTTCAGAAGCAGTAAATCGCACAGAAAAATATTGCCCATCTTTTTCCAGAGCTGCTGGTAGACTTAAACTGCTTACACACTAGACCACAGGAGCTCCATTTGGAGACTGTTGTTGTTGTTGTTGTTGTTGTTAAGTCCCATTGACTTGTAGACAACTCATAGCGACCCTGTGAACAAAAGACCTGAACACTTGTATAACTTTGATCGAATTCTCCAAGTTCATAGAATTTCCAGAGGCAAGCTGTTTAGGAAGTGGATGCCACTCCTGCTTCCACGCTTGTTTTAAATTGGGGATCTCCATCAAACACTGTCCACCATGGGTAACCATTATTACATTTGACACATTAGTGTCACAGTATGTAGCATCAAAAAAACCACAAGTTACCTCTGTACAGCAAGTGGACAGACCACAAATTAGGAGACAAGGAATCTGAATTCAGGACACTGACTCGGGGAGAAGGCTTTGTCTCTCTCTGCTGGCTTGTCTTGGCTCCACAGATCGTTTCCTGGTTCCTTTGAGATCATTAGGTGGCTTGGGATCATTCTTCCTCTTGCTTTACTTCAATTGTTTGCTTGTTTAATTGCTTTTGTATCCCAAGAGATGTATTTAAGACACACCATATACTAATCATAGAAAGTTCAGGTTGGATTTAAAAGAGGCCAGGGCATCACAGATATCACTGCTGATGTCAAATGGATCTTTGCCTAAAACAAAGACTACCAGACTATGCAAATACATTTAACTGTGAGGATCATAACAAATTAATGGCTAACATTGAGAAGAATGGGAATCCCAAACCTCTTAATTATGCTTGTACAAAACCAATACCTAGACCAAGTGGCTGTTGTGAAAACAGAGCAAGGGAACGCTGGATGATTTAAGATCAGGAAGGGTGTGCATCAGGGTTGTATCCTTTCTCCATACCTATTCAATCTGTATGCTGAGCAAATTATTTGAAAGTTCAGACTCTATGAAGGAAAATATGGTCTCAGGATTGGGGAAGCACTCATCAGTAGTCTTTGTTATGTAGATGGCCCATATTTTTCCCTCAGAGCTGTTGGCCATTTTGGGTTAGAAACACAAGTCTTTATGAACTCTATCACTAGCTCTCCCTCCACTAACATAACAAAGACATTTCCCAAATGGGATTTTAGCATGGCTACTAGGTTTCATCGCCCTCTACAGTCTTCTGAGAATTTACATTTTCACCTTGGCTGTGCTGAACTACAGTCTACATTTTAACAGGAGCCCCAGGTAATTATAACGGATCCCTGGGCAGAAGTTTTGTAGGTCAGCTCGGGCTATTGTTTTAAAATATAGACTCTGATAGATTCTGATTTAGCCCATCTTCTCTCAGATGAATGGATCGGACGTCTTGGATGATAGCCCCAGCACAGAGGTTAGGTTTACAACACATATTTTAGGGGCTCACAGTTCAATCCATGATAGCAGGATTTCAGTTTACAAGGATTTATTCTATACTTTATACAAACTGATATTAAAAATCAAATCATAGTTTGTGTTTACTGGAGATAATTCTGTAAGGCAGTGTTTTAAGAGTTGGAGAATAACGTTACCACTTAAAGAAGCTGTTTTAGATGGACTTTAAGAACTAACAGCAACAATAATTCATTGCTGTCAAGTTGGAACCAACTCATAGCTGACCCTCTAGTAGATTTTCAGAGGCTGCAGATGACACAGGAGATTGCCAGTCTCTACCACAGAGTAGTTGAGGTAGTAAAACTGCCTACCTTTCCTTAAAAACTCCTTAACCATTGGGCCACCAAGATGACTTTATTATGCAGTGCCACTCCTCTTCTAATTCCCCCAGCAGAAGAAGATAGTAAGTATTGATAATTACCTAGTGATGATGCCAATTATCAGGTCTCGTCCACTTTTTTTCCAGTCCACTTTTATTCCTTATTGCAGAATAGTGACTGAAAATGATTAGAGAATTTGAAGCAAGACTGCTGAAATGAACAACAACCACCAGGAAAAAGAAAAAATAAATTGGTTGCTGTAATTTGCAAACCAGTTCTGAAATAGATCGACCATTGTGTTTTGAAGCTACAAAGCTCTGGTCACTATCACTGAATGATACAGGAAGCATCAAAAGAAGATGGAAGGACTACACAGAGTCACTATTGTAGAAAGAATTGGTTGACACGGAATCATTCAAGAGGTAACATATTTAAAATCCAGTGTTAATGAAGGAAGAAGTTCAAGCTGCATTGAAAGCACTGGCAAAAAAAAAATCCTCAGGAATTGATGGAATACCAGTTAACATGTTTCTACAAACACTTGCAGCCCTAGACATGCTCAGTAGCCTATGCCACAAAATTTGAAAGGCAAGTTGACAAAATGAGATCCATATTTGTCTCCATTCCAAAGAAAGATGGTCATTCTTATCAAACAATATCATATGCAAGTAAAAACTTGTTGCTTATTAAAGAATGGACTGGTAAAAGTTATCAATAGGGAACTTCCGGAAATGCAAACTGGTTTCAGAAGAGGCTGTGGAATGAGAGATATCATTGCTGATGTCTTATGTATCTTGGCTGACAGCAGAGGATACCAGAATGGTTTTTTGTGTGTTTTACTTACTGTGCGGAGGCATTTGACTATGCGGATCATAACAAATTATGACTAACATTGAGAAGCATGGGAATTCCAGAATACTTAATTGTGCTCCTGGAACACCTATATGTACCAAGAAGCGGTTGTCTAGATAGAAAAGGGAGCACAGTACAGTTTCACATCAGAAAAGATGTACATTAGGAGTTGTGTTCTTCCTCCATACCTGTTCAGTCTGGACGCTGAGCAAATTCTTGGAGAAGCCGAACTTTGAGAAGAAGAATGTGCTGTCAAGATTGGAGGAAAACTCATCAGTAACCTGCTATTTGAGCTAACCAAAGTGCTGAAGAGTAAGGCATATCTGTTTAAAACTAGCATGTCTTTCAAGAAATAACTGAAAACACTATGAAAACATGCTAGTCTTTGAGGTGTCTGAAAGGTGGACAATGAATAGGAAGACCAAGGAAGCATTTGATGCCTTTGAATTGTGTTGGTGAAGAAGACTATTGAATATCCCATTGACTGCCAAAAGAACAAATCTGTCTTAAGGAACTGTAGCCAGAGTGCTCCTTAGAGAAAAAGATGATAAAACTCTGTTAAATGTTGTGGGCATCTTATCAGGAGGACCAGTCCTTTAAAAAGACATCATGCTGGGGAATGTAGAAGGTCCAGGGAAAAAAGAGAAAGACTTCCAACAAGATAGATTGACACAGTGACTCTGACAGTGGGCTCCAGCATGGCAGAGATTGTCAGGATGGTGCAGGATAGGGCAAGTTTCTGAACTGCTGGAAAGGGTTCCTGTGAGTTGTAATTGACCCAAGGACGCCTTTCAACCACTTCCTTGCTGTTTGTGTTTAGATTTTTTTATATCTAGGAAACAGTGAACCACTTTAAGTGTACTTAATAATTCTTTTAATGTCTACATTGTTGTTTACCTCAAAACCAGGTTTTTTAGACTTTTATACTTTGAAACACTTTTAGGAAATGATTGCTTATAACGTTGTAACTCATGTTTATATTAATTTTATTTCTCAAATAAGATATATACTTAGTTTTTCCTGGTTTCAAGTTACCTAACTTTGACCTGTTTCTCTCCAAACAATTCTGTTTAACTTCAGAAAAGATGGTATAATACTTCTTTGATTTTTGTAACCTAAAATCTATCATCAATCACACTAACTTTTTTTTCCTACCCATCTATGTTGTTTTTGGTCTTTAATTTTTATCAAGATTTCAACTTATTCTAGTGATACTTTCCAAATACCACCATCTTTATTTAGCATGATCCGGTTTAACAGAAATTCATTTGTTAGTATTCAAATGGCACCATTGTCTAAATTTGTGCTTCTGGAAGTTGTTAAAGCTATAGTATATACAGAGTATGTTTCAGTTTTTTCATTTGTTTGAATAATATTTCACAGCTTCAGAGTGAAAGTAGGCAGAGAGTATTGCAGTTTCTGAAGATTTTTATGAATGTGGGTCTAGTTTGTAGTATCAGTGTGGACTACAGCAACCCTCTTTGTCTTAAAGGGAGCTCTGGTGGCTTAGTGGTGAGGAGTTGTGCTGTCAGCCTACAGGCAAGTGGTTCAAGTCCTCCAGCTAATCAGTGGGAGAAAGATGAATAGTCTTCTCCCGTGTAATTTCTTGCCTCTGAAAACCCACTGGAAGGTCCGCTGTGAGTCACAGCCAACCTCGATGGCACACAGCAGCAATATATGGGTTTGAGTAGACTGCAGGCCATAAAGTCTTCATCGGCTGCTTTCTCAGAAGTAGATTACCAAGCCTTTCTTCTAAGGTTCTTGCAGGCGGTCTCTAACTTCCAGCCTAGTTTTTCAAGTTGCAGTTAGCAGGCTTTCATATTTAAACATATTTAATGGCTACTGTAACTGATTTCCATTTAACTGGTATGAGGGAGGAATTAAATAAATGTAATTTGATTTAAGGAATTTAATATTTACTCAAATTCTACTCTCTTTTGAGGCGTATCTTTAGAAGTTACTAATAGATATTTTGAAGTCTCAGGTCAGTTCAGTTATTCAAATTTTTTTTTAACTATTTTTTGTGTGTGTACTGTCAAATCAGATCTGACTGGTACAGAAGGAGATTGTCTCTCCTTCTCCAGCAAAGCATCTAACCCTAGACAAAATATTTTAATTATTATACAAAATGATGTAAACTGTTATGTTTACATCTCCAACATGAAACAAAACAAAAGACAAAAAATTGGGAAGATTAGAATGAAGTGACCAAATTTGATTGAAGTTGACTGAAACAAAAAGAGAACTTCCTTGAAAAACATTTCTTTAGGTTGTGTACATCAATTGTAACTTCAGTAAAAATAATCTTTCTGGCTTTTTATTTTGATATAGAACTTGATTTAGTAAAAATAGACTATAAACAACACAGTTTGTTAATTATGCTCTTACATAATAGGTCAGATGAAAAGAAGACCATGAACTGGAAACAGCTTCCCAAAAAGCCATGCAAAAACCTGCTAAGCACCTTGAGGAAATTATATCCCCAGCTGTCTTCAGGTAAATGCGATAGAATTTTAATGAACCAATATTTATGATGAAAGTCCTTTTAAAAATGGAAGTGTAACTTTTCCTTACTTAAAAGGAGTCTCTTTACTGAGCAGATGTGGGCAGATAAAAGAGAGTGGCCATGTATAGGTTTGTCAGATGATATTTCTACAATTTTACTATTATATTTCTTAAAGATATCAATGTATATATAACAGAGCCTCTAGGGAGAAAAGGTCCTTAAACTTCTTAAACATAACCAAATACCCTAAAAAAGTGAGTTACAGGTCTTAGGGCTTCAATACCATAGATTCAGGAGACATCAAGGTTGATTGGTATAAAGTCCACAAAAACAGTGCTCACCATCCTACCTCAGTGAGTAGTAACTCGGGTGAGAAAAGCTTGTAAGTGACTGTGTCAGATGCAACTATTAATCTCTGTCTGGAACAAAGAAGAAGAAATGAAAGCAAAGATGCTACCACTGAGGACCCCTCTAAAATGGATCACAGTAGAAGATCCTGGGTAGTTGTTGTTAAGTGCCGTCTAGTCGCAGGCGACTCATAGCGACCCTATGAAGGAGAGTCCTCGATGCTTGGGTGCCTTTGTTCCTCTCTGCAGGTTCATAGGGTTTCTGGAGGCAAGCTCTTATGGAAGTGGATGCCACTCCTCCTTCCACGCTTGTTTTCATCGGGGAGCTCCACCCCACTCTCTGCCTGCATTGGGTAACCAGCCATTAACTCATTTGACACATTAGTGTCACAGTGTTCAGCGTTAAGGCAACCACAAGTTACTGCTGTATGTCAACTTGTACACCAGGGCTATACGACCTAGAGGAATGTCTGAACAAAAACAATGAAAGATAGGCATGAGGGCTGCAGATTAAAAGTCACCCACCTTTGGCTTGGTAGCATCGCTTTCTGTCCACTGGGCCAGCTGATCTCTCTCTATATTGATATTATTGTTAAGTGCCATCGAGTCACAGGAGACTCATAGCAACCCTATGAAGGAGAGTCCTTGATGCTTGGGTGCCTTTCATCCTTTCTCCAGGTTTTCATAGGGTTTCCGGAGGCAAGCTATTATGGAAGTGGATGCCACTCCTCCTTCCATATCCTGGATAGGGCTGGTGAAAATGTGGAACAAAGCTCAAGAACATAAAAATGACCAGGATGTCTGGTCCAATAGAGACTGATGGAACTTCCAGAGCTATGGCCCTTAGTTATCCTTTGAACTAGGAGCAAAATTCATCCCCTACCCTGCACCCCGTGGCTCAACTTTTAGTCAAACAATGGATAGAACTGTAAGGTGAACAGTAAAACCAGAGAGACTCACTCCTTAGAACAGTCAGCCACCAGAGGGCAAAAGGGCAGCGTTTACCCAGATAGAAAGCTCAGAAAGCAGGAAGCAGGGGTGGGCAGGATAGAAGGATTAATGGAAAGAAGACTCAAGGAGTGGGAATGAGAAGAGTATGGTTTACTTTGTGGGTGGGTATTGTAAGTAATGTCATCAGACAAAATACATGAATGGTTGACTAGAAAACCAGTACTATACATATGACAACCACCCAGAATGAGAGAGATATCATTGCAACGAGTACTGGGGGTGGGGGAGGTAGATAATTGTACAACAGTGAATGACTATTTAAAAAAGAAAGTGAATGAAGGGGAGAGGAGGGTGAGGGGGTAAAATGTGCAACAGTGAATGAGTGAAAATCTAGCTCTCCTGTGTTAAAATCACAATTAAAATAAAATGTTGGTTTTTTAAATTTTTTTTTATTATTATATGTGTGCGTGTACCTTCAAATGAGATTTGACTGGTACAGGAGGAGATTGCACCAGCAGAGCATCAGGTGGACTCAAACTCTGTACCTTTGGGATTGCAGTGCAGCTTTTTGCCACTAGGCCACCAGAGCTCCCAAAATGTTATTTTTTTTAAAAAGACCTCAAAATCTTTAACTCAGATCACAATAAAAAGAGACAAAAAGGAGTTTTCATTACATAGTAGGATTCTGATGAGAAGAAACAACACTTGGGCTCATGAAGTTTCTTTCTTCTACACGCTTCAGCTTTCCTGCTCACTCCTGCAGATGAGCTCTAAGTTCATGGGGAAAAGAATTTCTAGAAATCATACATTTTAACCATCACCCTGTGTTTGTGCATTTATTTTAAAAAATATTAATTCCGTTTTCTGTCTCTAATTAATAGTACACAGAAAAACACAAGAAGGTTCAGCAGTTGAGATGACTCCAATTGAAGCAGATTTCTCTTGGCAAAAGAAGATGACACAGCTTGAGATGGAAATTCAGGAGGCATTTTTGCGATTTATGGCATCTATATTAAAAGGATATAGAACATTTCTCAAGCCAATTACAGAGGCTCCTTCAAATAAAGCCACAGCTGCTGATTCACTGTTTGACCGACAGGGTGAGTAGTGTGGAAAATGCTGTTGCCTATTTTGAAATAAACGATATTGTTTACTTATAAAAAATCATGAAATACTAACTATATAGACCTGATATTTTCTGTACCACCAAGGAGCCTTTCCTAACTGACCAGCCACTCAGGATAAAGATGTGACAGTCTGCTTCTATAAATAAACCTCACAATGCTGCAAACCTTATGGGACAGCTCTACTCTGTCCTGTAAGGTTACTATTAGTCAGAATTGGCTTGAGGGCAGTGACTTCATTGGGTTTGTTGTTGTTTTAAGTGTTCTGGGATTCTTATTCTCAAAGTTCATTGAATTTTAATATGTACTTGTAAACTTGCTCAGAGAATAGAATTTCTTTCAATTTTTGTACATATGAGAAATGGAAAACTTGTTGGTTTTTAATTATAAAAAGTCAAAGATGTTACTTTTGTATATTATAGTTATCTGAGTAGCTGGTGATGCACTTCTAGGTATTTCATGGATTTATGTACCATCAGCAGAGTCTCAACTCTGGTCTTGCTTTCACAAGGGTCTTGGTCTAGTCTCCCTCAAGTCTTGTTCCTCAGTGTGGGAAGCACTCTTTCTCTTAACCTAGTCCCACGGCTGTTGATGATTAGCAAGGCCATGTTTCTTCAGTTAAGCTAGGTGGAGACCAGAGCAGCTAATGTAATGGCTGGAAGAGCCAACTCCTAAGCTAACACAGCAGTTCTCTTCTGGCTGATGCACCTCCTGTGCAGCCACCACCTGTCAGGGGAGGTTGATTGTTTTTTGCAGTGCTCAACAGGTTTCAGCAGAGCTTCAAAACATAAGTGGACTAGAGGAAAGGTCCTCTGGCTCACCATTTGCTGTGGTTTTATTACAGTAACACAGTTGAGCAGAATTTAGTTTTCTTGTACATGATGAATTTGCTCTTGAGTTCAGGCCTACTCAGGTGTAACCAATTACAGCAGTAGGGTTAACTGGTGAAGTTGGTTCAGGTGTTGTTAGTCGAATACATGATGGTTTCCTCATGAGGGTCTGTTAAAGGCTGATGTAACAGTGAAATGAGAGCTGTTGAGGAAACACGAATGCTGTGTAGTGGGATTTCTGTGTTCATGTAAGGTATCTGACCGTAGTTGTCAAACATTAGTACAAGGAGGTGGAGTGGATTCTAGAAAAATGGGGGAATAGCTCTTTAGGTTCAGAGGTGTAATTTGCCTAATCGTGAGTCCTCCTCATCCCCCTTCTCAGACGTACTCAGCCGATCTGCCCAGAAAATAGCAAACAGCACATTCCTCCAGGGCTGAGTCAACCAAATGGGAAGAGTCTTTGTTTACTAGACACGTCTATAAACACGAATCTGCCTGTTTATAAAGTGAATCACCAAGTTTCCCTCTAAGATTTTAATTTTGTTATTTCAATTTTTCTAGGATTTTTAAAAAGTCGTGATCGTGCCTATACAAAATTCTACACCCTTTTATCCAAAACACAGATTTTTATTCGTTTCATTGAAGAGTGCAGTTTTGTAAGTGATAAAGATACTGGATTTGCGTTTTTTGATGACTGCATAGAAAAGGTAAAGTTTATTCTGTATGCCAATGTTAAGGAAGAATGTAAACCATTGGGTGTACCTATGTAATCGTTATTATTGGCCTAGAATTTATCTGAACGTGAGAGAGATGTGTATGTGTAACCGTAGGAAAGTGTGTGTGCACGCGCACATCCTGGTTTCAGGTTTACTGTGAGAATATTTTCCTTTGTGGTATTTAGTTCCTACTGTACATAGCTGGTTTTCTCTGTGAGTCTCACTTTGCTTTTAGCCATTGATCACATAGAACATGTCGTGGAGCTTTCTAAGTCCCCTCATTGTTATTTCAGTAAGGAAGATAGGATCTAGTAGTTCATTTACAAAATTTACTTTGATGAGAAAAGGAAGTCCGTTGTACTTTTATTTTAATAATATCTTCCCAAGTCCATTATTTTGTAATATTTTCTTTTGCTTTTATGGCAAATATTTGGAAATTTTTAAAAAATTATTTTTGTGTGTGTACCATCAAATCGGATCTGACTGGTACAGGAAGAGATTGCCCCTCCTTCTCTGTGGGTTTGAACCGTGCACCTTTGGGATTGCAGTGCAGCTTCTTGCCACTAGGCCACCAGAGCTTCCTTGGAAATATTTTTTAAAGCTTTATTGTCTTGCCTAAAGGGAGTTTAAATGCTGATTCTTGACAGTGATGACTCCTGTTTTTCCTCCATTTTAATAGGGTGTATTTTTCCCCCTAAGTGGATCTTAGATTTGATTATACAATGAGTAAAATTTGAGATTGTATTAAAAATTAGAATATTATGATAATTTCATTTTTTAAATTAAATTCTTTCTGTTCCTCTTAGTAATTCAAATGCCTTATAAAACCAGAATAACTTGATTAATTTTCTCCCATTCTGTCCATACCTAGAACATCAGGGACAACTATTCAGCCTTTTTGTTTACTTACCAAATTCATATTATAACTACCTTCCAGTTAAATGAAAGGCTTAGGAAATGCCTGTCTTTAATGCAGGGGTTGCATTAAAAGTATTTGAAAAATCAAGTTTCCCTTATGATTAGCCATCTTTTATTTGTAAAGGTAGATTTACAGGATAATTCATCAGAGTAAGTTGTCTTCTATGGTCATTAATGAAATATGTGTTTACCTAGTGATAGTCGTCATGGTTGTGAGGTGCCGTTGAGTAGAGTATGACCCAAAGTAACCCTGTGAACAACAGATCTGAACCCTGTCCTGTCCTGTGCCGTCCTCATACTTCCTGACATGCTAGAACCCATTGTAGTAGTCACTGTGTAAATCCATCTGGTTGAGGGTCTTTCTCTCTTTTGCTGACCCTCCACCTTCCCGTGTGTGATGTCCCTCTCCAAGGAGTAGCTTCTGCTAGCAACATGACTGAAGAATGTGAAACAAAGCTTTATCTTCTTTGTCTCCAAGGAATACCTTGGCTGCACTTTCTAATGATACAGGGTCCAAAAAATATATTGTGAAATGTTTTCTGTTTCTTCAGTATTAAGAAAAGACAGTATTTTTGTTCCCAGTCAGATCCTTAAGACTAAAAATCTGTTAAATTCACAGTGGGCATTCTCATTAAAAATCTTTTTTCTTCCTTGTCTAGTTGTTTCCTGATAAAAGCACAGAGAAAATAGATAAGGTACTTTTTTTCCTTAGCCTTAAGTTAAATTTTCATTATTGGATGTCACTTATATACAAATTAATTGGAGAAAATAATTCTTTGTAGGTTGATTTTGATTCAGCAGAAGATACGAAATTGATAGAACTAGATGAGTCACAGAAGAGTGAGCATACGGTGTTCATAATGCCACCTGAGCCACCCACGGATGATGGCAAGGACCTCCTCCCAAAGTACAGGTAGCAGGACGTGACTTCTAAGGGGATTTAGGCTCATCTCTGATGGTGGAATGTATGGCTTTTGTAATTTGTAAATAGGTATAATACTTAATAATTTGGAAGGTCATTTTCCAACATTCACTTGAAGAAATGGAGATAAATATTCAGAGAGATGTGTTGCCAGATAGAACTAGAACCAGGTAGCATTTTTGAAAGGGAAACCAGACATGAAGAAAAAAAAATTACTCCTCCTGGACCGTTTTATTTCTAATATTATTGCTGTTAGCTAATTATTGTTGTTGTTCTTAAGTGTCATCAAGTCATAGACGACTCATAGCGATCTTATGACCAAAAGACCTGAACACTTGTATAACTTGCATCGTTTCTACAAGTTCATAGGGTTTCTGGAGGCAAGCTATTTTGGAAGTGGATGCCACTCCTGCTTCCATGGAACTAGGAACATATCGGTGAAAACAAAAGAGAGAAACAAATTATTTTTTTGTTTGTTTTTTAAATTTTATTTTAGTAATTTTAATGAACATTTACAGAGATTTTGGATTTCCATTCATTCATTGTTGTACTTTTCTCCCTGCCCAGGCCCCCCCCCCAGTTCGCTACTCTCTTTGAAAAAGTAAAAGAAAAATTCTTTCTTTGGTATACAGTCCCCCTGCACCCCTCCCACCACCCCAGGTACACTCCACTATGCACCTTTAATTCTGGACTCTTGTGATAACTATAATACCCTATCATGTATAGCTTTTAAATTATTCTCTCCCTCATCTGTTTCAATGCAGTATACGTAATTTATCCAGCTTTTCTCGGTCTTACCCCAACCCTGATATCAGTCCCATTCTACAACAGACTGAGGTCCAGAAGGATATAGAAGCAACCTTGAGAAAGTACCTTGGATTGGAGTCATAACACATAGCCTAGTAAACTTAGAACTTTTTCTTCAAAAAAAGAAAACAGAAATCTGTCATTATAGTGGTATTATATATAATATTTTTAACAATTTAAAAATAGTATTGTCTTTTTCTACATGTTTATCATGCTTAAACATGATTTCATCATGTATAGTCTTTGTAACATGTTTTTTCTTAATGACTTGACCATAAATGTTATTAACTATATTGTGTCATATAATTTTCAGTAACCATATTGCATGCATTTACTGTGATTTAGTTCTGTAAATGTGTTTGTACTGCTTTGTTATTTGTGTCTGCATATATTCACAGTTTTTTAAAAGTCTGTATGTATTCTTAAAATAGACCTTAAAGGTCACTAGGAATAGAAAATTAGTGTTTTTCAAAACTAAAATTAATATATGATCTCACCAAGGTATAGTTTAAGGTGCTTTATTAAGTACTGTTGATATAATGACTTAAGTACAATTTTTATTTCCTATTGACTAGAATTCATTTTTATTTTGCCTTTTGATTTTTTCTAAATCAAAATACATGTTTGCAAGTAAGATAAATTCAAAATGAGAAACGCAGTATCTCCTGCATTAAAGAGAGCAAAAGAAATAATTAACCATTTCAAAGAAGAAATAAAAATTATCAATAGTATGAAAAGAAATTTAGCTTTTCTGGCAATTGACGAAATATAAGCCAAAATAAGGCTGAACATTTTTATGCCTAGGCTTTCAGGTTCAGGATAGGCTGTGTTTCTAGTTGGAGTGTATGACAATATAACCTTCTTGGAAATAAAACTTTACAATAACAATTTTTTATATTCTTAATAAGCATAGTCCCTAGTAAGCTCTATTCTTGGATATTCATCCTAAGAAATGAATCAGATGTTTTCATAAACATAGATATTAATTAGATATTTAACTTAACAAAAACAAAAAACCCCAGATAAAACACCAACCCCCCCCAAAAAATGGATCAACCAAAAAAAGTCCAACCCTAGGGGCCTGATTTAAATTGTGGTGTGCCCTTAAAATTATGATGGATAGCTTTCCTTTTAAATTCCAATGGCAAGTTAAATTTATGTAGAAAACCTTAAAATTACATTGTGTTACAAGGTTATTTTTAAAATGTAAATTGTCATTTAAAATGTGAGTTCTGTTGAAAGGATTACTTTCTCTATTAAGATATCAGAGTTTTCTGCTTTCAGGTTGAAAGTAACCAAGGTGATTGAGAGAAGACAAAGTTTCTAACTTAGTAGCTTATGTATCTTCTAACTATATCTACTTATATATTTTAAAAAGTAATTTTTCCTATATAAAAATTTTGTGAAATAATATTAGATACTATTTGAGACTTAGAAAATTGTGACAGCTACTAAAACAATATGAAGAGTTAATGCTTTTTAAACTAGCAGTTCTATTTTTGCTTTTTATTTTAGTTACAAATACTTTCCAAGACTGGACCTTAAGCTTTTTGACAGACCACAGGAGTTGAAACTTTGTTTTAGTAGACACTCTGCAGGGAATAGCATTGCGAACAGTCCAGCTCTCATGGCTAAAAGAACTAAACAGGTCAGATGTTATTTGTCTTAATATGTTCGAATGTGAAATGTGTATGTGTAATATACAATTCAAAGATTAGAATTCTCTCCAGTCGCAGCCATTTCAAAACCTGCTATGGTTGTTACTGAATAGATTTCTTGGAACCCTACTTGTCATATTGAGACTGAAGTTTATAAATGCTTATATTTATGTGTTAAGAAAGTAGTTGGGAATTAAATATACTTTTAAGAAAACTATTGAAATATAAATCACATACCATACAATTCATCCATGTGAAGTGTGCACTTGAATGACTTTTAGCAAATCAGAGTTATGTAACCCGTACTACAGTTCATTCTAGACCATTTTCACCATCTTACAAAAAAGTCTTCTACCACTTAGCTAGCTGTTAACACCTCCCAGTCCTAAAAAGCCACCAATCTACTTTCTGTCTTTGTTGTTACTGATAGACGTCATTGAATTGAGTGCAACTCATAGTGACCCTCTAAACAACAGATCTGGCCTCTGTCTTCTCTGTTGGTTTGTCTATTCTTGATGTTTGCTCCAGTTGAATTGTATGATGTGTGGTCCTTTGTGACTGTCTCACTTTATTTCACATTTGCAAAGCTTTTCATGTTGTGGCATAGATCATCCCTTTCTTTTTGTTGCTGAATAATATTCCACTATATGGATATATGAAAATTTTTGATCTGTATATTTGATGGTTTCTAGGTTTTTGATCATTTGCTTTATACTACCTACTATGAACATTTGCATATAAATGTTTGTTGTGGGTATATGTTTTCCCTTGTCTTGGATATATACCTAAGTGTGTGTCCTGATAACTTAATAATTAGCACATGCAAGAACTGTGAAACTTTTTCCAAAGTGATTGCTTCATTTTTTGTTACTCCTGTCAGTGCATGAGAGTTCCAGTTTCACCAGATTCTTGTCAATTCTTGCTACTATCTTTTTTTTATTCTAGTGATTGTGTAGTGATATGTCATTGTTTTCATTTGCATTCCCTAAAGACTAGTATTAATGTGCTTTTCTACCAAATGTTAAAATCTAAAGGACTTTAAGTTAAGATAATGACAACATATATATCTTGCTTTATACTCTGACTTAGTTATAAAGAGTTATAAGCAATAGTTAGGTGTGGGTTAAAATGAAACACTCTTTGTACACATACTGATATACTAGATATCTGGGATCTTTAAACATGGAAAGTGCCACAACGAAATTCTCAGATCACATTTTACCAATTAGGGATAATGCCCCAAATCCGAAGGGGTGAAAAAGATAGTCTCTTATTTTCATACCACTTACATTTCTACCAGTGTTTTCTGTGGAGGAAACGAAAGAATTTTTTTTTTTTTTAATTTTTACTGTTACTAACTTAGTAAGTGCAAGCTTCTAAAATGGAAACATTTTATTCCTCACTTTCTAAATTGCATATGCATTATAATTACTCTCCCCTCAGGCTTTTTGGAAAGATATTTTAAAATCTTAGAAAAGTAAAATAATACATTTCCAGATATACCTCCATGTCTCATGGAGAATATAGCTCCAAGGAGACATGAGTGCATCAGGATCTTATTACTGAGAGTATATCAGAGAGGAGGACTCTGGTGCAGAGCCCACAATAGCAGCCTGACTGATCTGAAAGGCTGTGGTTTCTGGGAGTCTGTGTAGCTAAATGAACTAGGAAGTGATTTTAATACCTCATCTGTCCCAAGGAGCCCTAATAGCATAGTACATATAGTCTACATTTAACCAACAATAACTTATGAATTCCTCTGGGCATTCCTGATAATCAGATGTGTTAGATTGCTAATAAAAAGGTCAGGGTTCGAATCCAGGAGCTCTTCTGAGGGGAAGAGATGGACTGCCTCTTCCTGTAAGATAACAGCCTCAGAAATCTGATGGAGAGAGTCAGACTATTTGTGACGGTTCTTCCCTTGCTCACCTAGATTAGAATGGAAGTCAGAGGTAGAGAGCAGACTGCGGGATATCCACTTCCACAGTCTTTCTCAGGACCATCTTGTCTACAGAGGAGGAATAGGCATTCTTTTCAGGAATCACTCATTGAAAGGAATTCACGCAGACTGTGGCTGAGGATTGTAGAGTGGAAATCTGGGAAGGAAACAAGCCTAGAGCATATTACGTTTTAGCAGGGAGAAGAGTGGGAAGAAGGTCGTTTGCTAGGATTGGGATGAAGGAGCTTATAAATTTGCAGGGGATAAATCTTAGACCCATAGTTTTAGTAATCTTGTCATCTATCCAGTATGTTAAGTGCCTTTTTTTTTAATGAGTATCGATGATGTTTCAACAAGGAATTTCTAGTCTTTCTGGAGAAACTTGTTGGCCATCAAATGTAGTGTAAAGTGCTCCTGTCAGATACATGTTCAAAGAAAACTTCTTAAAAACTGATGAAATGCTTGATTTGTAGGTCAGATGTTACATGTTACAATTGTTGCTTGTGTTTCCTACTTTTCCCTCCCATCATCATATTTTAGTAAATATTTCCTTTTTCTTTTTAGGAGATAAAAACAGCTCATAAGTTGGCAAGGAGATGTTATACAAACCCTCCTCATTGGGCCAAGTGCCTATTCAGTCACTGTTACAGCCTCTGGTTTATCTGTCTCCCAGCCTATGTCAGAGTTTCTCATCCCAAGGTCAGAGCTCTGCAGCAGGCATATGATGTACTTATTAAGATGAGGAAAACAGACGTGGACCCACTGGATGAGGCAAGTGTAATAAGTCACTGTTTCTAATTCTGGCTTTGTAGTTTTAGGAAAAATGAGATCTCAGTTTCTTTTAAAGTGTTTCCAGATGTTTTCCATTAAACAAGAAAGGTAAAACTGTTAATCTGTTTCATAGAATCGGCATCTATTGCTTCTTTTTTAAAGTATATGTATTTCAAAACTATTTCTCTGGAATGAAGGAGAGACCTTTTCATGAGTACGACCAGGTTGTTTAACTTAATACATAGAAAGTAATATTCAACTTCGCTTTTGTCTTTCTTCAGCTTTGGGGAGCAAGTGGAGAAGGGGTTTTAGCAAGTGTGTTTCCACTTAGAATCTGTGTCCCTAGGATGAGTGACATAACCTTCAGATTTTTCATCTTAAAATGTAGATCGAATTTTTCACAGTGTTAGTGTTACTGGTATTTTGACACGCTTAACTGTTTTGAAGTCTTTCTTATTGTATGTTACTGGATGTTTGACGGTATCTCTGGCCTCTTCCTACTGGATGCCAGCAACACATCTCATCATTTTCTATGCTGAGAATTCAGAAAGGATTGTGGGTAGTTTTCCTGTTGCATATTAACTGAGATTACCTGGTTGTATGTTACAGTGTGATCTTTTCTGGAGGGTTCATGATAGCCAAACTCAGGTGCTGACCAGGTACCTTGGCAGGGTTGTCTGGAAAGGGGCTCAGGACTTCTCTCATCGTCCTAAGTCATAGACGACTGTGCTAACTACTGATCCATGGTGTGCTTTTTTTGTCAGGTGTGCTATCGAGTAGTAATGCAACTTTGTGGACTGTGGGGCCATCCAATTTTAGCAGTGAGAGTCTTATTTGAAATGAAAACTGCTAAGATAAAGCCAAATGCCATTACTTATGGTTATTATAATAAGGTAAGTAGACCTGAAATTAGGTAATATATGCTACTTATTAGATTTTTTTAGCTACTCAAAACTATTTTGTCTTCTCTTTGAGGCCATAGTAGTAATTATATACGAGTACATAATTATATACGAGGGTATGTGCGCGCACACATGTGTGCATGAATGTATGTATGTATAATTTTTGAAAATACTTACTCCTAATCAGCATTCATATTTGCATTTAGGTGGTTTTGGAGAGCTCATGGCCCAGCAGTACCCGCAGTGGAATCTTCTTATGGACGAAGATACGGAATGTGGTCCGTGGCTTGGCACAGTTTAGGCAGCCACTCAAAAAGACTGTGCAGAAGCCACAGGTCTCCTCAATATCAGGTAATCATGTAATTGGAAAGGTTCTTTCCTTCTTAACCATATAACTTTTGGCATATAAGTCTTGCTATCTAAACTTAAAAGTATTTGTAGTAAAAAACCACCAAGAACATTTTAGTTGATTTATGTCCTGCACCTCTCGAGGCAGCTTAAAACCAAGCTCATTGCCGCTGAGTCGATTCTGACTTTGGACCTATATCCAAATTTATTTTTTTTTTTTGCTTGTGTTTTTCTTTCAGAAGTTTAGACAGTGTCCTGCCACTTGAAATGAAGTGTGGGTCACTCATGTTTAGTTTCGAGGTTGTCAGTGCATGGCTAATTGAACTGTTGTCCTTATCTTTAGCCCCTCAGAACGCCACAGGTGGAAGTGATGGGGACACGGTGAGCCACGGTAGCGTGGATAGTTCTAACGATGCTAACAGTGGGGAGCGTACAGTCTTCGTCAGAGACTTAATCAGGCTTGATTCCACTGATAATCACTCTAGCACAGGTACTAAAATCTGCATTTTACTAACCCTTCACTTACTCTCATGTTAAGTCTTCTCTCTCTCTTCCCCACCCCCCAAAACCTTTTCTCTCTTGAGTTTGTGCGATATGAATATTTAGAAAATACTCCACATTAGTAAGGGAGAAAATTGTCCCCCTCACCCGAGATCACATCTCTTTATTTCCTGGTGTGAAATTAACTTTGGAGCTCTATTCACAAGGCTCTGTCTAGTGTGATCCTTCTGAAACAGTCTGCTTTGTTCATTAATTTGTGGAAGTGTATGACGTTGTCGTTCAGAATTGTAAGGTATAATCAGCTTTAATGCTAATGACAAAATGTACAAATCTTCCCCCCCAATAGAAAATTATCTTAAAGCTCTGAGATTATGAATATTAAAGAAGTAGGAAATAAGTCATACACATTGAGGAAACGATTTGTTGACATAGCTGTTAATGTAAATGACTCTTCTGAGCCGCTCCAGAAGCTATTTTTCCCCTGTGCGTACCTGTGGGCATAACTTGTCCTCTGAAGTTAGAAGAAGCACGTTCGTGTCAAAGCAGCACATCAGGCAGCTGCATGTCGCACATCCTTCTTGTGGTGTTGTGTTGTTGTTAATATCTTAAGCTTTTTTCCCCCCTTGAAAAAGAATTCTGAGTCTAATTCCTATGCTGCTTCTGATGACCTTGTCTCGATGACTGAAGTTTCCTTTTCTCTGCTCTTTGTTGCTCTGCTTTTTGCTCTGTGCTGTTTCTTGGTGCTGCATTTGTCCTTGGCTGTCATGGTGTGGGGTGCAGACAGACGTGTATGATGTGAAGCCATGGATACACGTGTGCATTAATTCTGCCCTTGAATGTTAACCACTTCAGGTAATTTCCCATTTATTAGGTTAAATTTTGCTGACAATACAAGGGGGCGGGGAGGAGACCTTATGCTGTATTTTTAAAGTACTGTTACAAGTAGAAAACCATTTTCATTGTTTTTTTCTTTCTTTCGCTTTTCTTACTCTAAGTATAATCATATATATCTACTGTAACTATCCCATTTAACATTTTATGATCATTTGCAAAGCATATTTGTTAATTGCATTGGAACCATATATTATATCATGTTATAATTCTTTTTTTTATCATGTTATAATTCTTATTTTGAGGTTAGTTGTAGCATCAGTGTCAAATAATGTTACGATTATTACAGACTTTACTGTTTGATAAAAAGCGGGTCAGCTGGTTTTCGCTTTTTAAAATTGGTCCATGAAATTCTTGTGTTTAAAATTACTTTCCCATAAGCACATGTAAATCAGGACTTTTGAGTTACTATTATTTATAAATTAAATGAGCAAGTAAGAATTTTTATTGACTCTCATTTTTTTTTACTCTTCTTATTTCATTGTAGTTTGAAAAAAGTTTTACACAACAAATTAGTTTTGCAGCCAACAATTTCTCTCTGTTTGACATCAGTTGCTATCACCTGAATGGAACAGCTCTCTTCCCTGTGCTACCTTATCTTCTAGATGGACTTTTACTTCCTATATATTTGTGTCTCTGATACTTACAGGAGAAATGGGTTTCATTTATGAAAAACCAGGAAGATGACTTTTCATCCTGAAAGTAGTTTGCCAAAAATAATAATAGCAAGCACCTAGATTTAAAGCTTGTCTTATTATATACAGGCAGGATGGTCCTTTAATGGGAAAATGATTCCCTGGGCATTCTGGGGATTTGCAAAAAGACTCCAGTAGTTGAGGGGGAACCTTCTGATTGTTTTTGTTTTTTCACGTACTTCTTTTTTACTGCAGTTTAATTGACTAAAGGCCGGATCTTGAAGATGTGGGGATTATGTGTCTCTGTAGGGTTTCGAGTGATATCACTGGACACTTTGGGAAACTTCCGACTTACATACTTGAGTTGCTTTTTTCATTAAAGATTGTTTCCTAGAATCTTCTCATGTGGTACCTGATATTGAATCAGCACCTTAGGGACATAACTGGGTCTAAAGATCACCTAGTATCCAGCTCAGTTTGCATTTTGTGGCACCTTTTTTAAACAAACAATAAACAACATAACAGATTTCCTGTACGGAGCTTTAAAATATACTATAATCAAGTTTATTCTGAAAAACAATATTTAAAAATTAATTCTTTTGTTAGGTGGCATGTGCAGCCTGTGAGTACCAAGTGAGATAAGTGTAGAAGCTGGAAGGTTCTGCATACTTACTTTCGTAATATCTCATTGACATCTGATTCTCTGGAAACTGGCCTTACTTCCAATTTTGGATTCTAGCACTTTAAAGTCAAAACAGACTTCTTCAGAACTTTGCCTGAAATAATTTAAAATTTAGGGGGAAATTGCAAGGTTATTGCAGAGAACTTGCAAGTGTCCTCTATCCAGATTTGCTTCTTTGTTTCTTGCCTTTAATCCAGGCATTATATTTTCTTAATCTTATTTGAGAGCAAATGACATACTTTATGCCCTCCTCCCCTCAAATTTTTTAAATCTGTTAATGTTTCAGTAGCATTTTTCTCTTAATGTAACCACAGCATAGTTACTGAATTTAGGGAAACACTGATATGATCCACTAATCTACAATCAGCATTTTCATTTTGTCAGTTTTCCAATACCTTTTGCAATACTTTACTCCTCTTCCTTTAGTCTCTTTTAACCTGGCCCAATTTCTCAGCCTTTCTTTGACTTTGAACTATTTTGAAGAATTCCATTCTTCTCCATCTTGTCCCACAGCCCGGGGTTGCCTGGTGTTTTCTTGTGATTATTAGGTTTTGCATTGGTAGCTGTACCGCACAGTGATACATCGTTCTCATGATCATATTCCAGAGGTGCATAATCTCACCTCCCCCAATACACTTGTGATAATAATTCTGAGCACTAGGTAACAATGGTGCCTGTGTGTCATTACTATCCCTCACATTGCGGGCAATAAGCAGTCTGTAAGGAGACCCTCTCAGACCAAGCAAGATTCTTCTCTTTCTTATCACCATTTCTCCTTAAAATTAGTATTTTTTGATGACTCTTGTCTGATGTAATCTTTTACTATGATGGTTGCAGAAGTGGTGATTTTCCAAATCTGCCGTAGTTGCAGCGGCGCTCTGGCCCTTTGACATGCCCTTGTGATGTTTGTGAGCAGTTTCTTCCTGGCATGGCGTCCATAGCCCTAACTCATCATAGACCTTCTCTGCTGGAACCAGCCAGTTCGTCAGGGATCTCAGCTCCCTTTGAATAGCAAGTAGATTCTTGAAATGAAAACGTGGGCTCTACTTAGGCCTATTGTTACCAGGGTACTAATGTTTCTAGATTCTATAGAGTTAGAAAATATGTATGTCTGCATATTTCAGAAATACCTCCAGTTCTATTCCAGCACCCACAGAGTTTTGTTTTTTCTACTCCTTTTCATAAAGTCTCTCTTAAAGTCATGTTGAGTCATGGCTCCGGTATATCATTACATTTATTCATTTAATTAGTACTGTGGTCCATATAAAAGAATTTTCTAATTGCTGTAATTAATTCCCCGTGAGAATAAAACCTACAAAAGCTTTCAGGGTTTGATTCTGTATACCTCTGCCTAGTAGGCGTACTCCAAATACTGTGTTCAAAAGGCCCCTGGGTTTCTTCTGTAGCCAGTCCTTTTCACTGTGCTTATGTTGTTCCTGTGAAGTCTGATGGTGGTAGGAGTGGTGTTCTGTACCATGGGGTTGGAGCTGGCCCATAGCTGACACTTCCCGCAGGCTTTCAGAGGCAGTGAATTAATCGTGTGGGAGGAAATTGCCATATGCAGAAGAACTGAATTAATGTACTTTCATCTTTAGCCCTATTTCCCATTTTTGTCAATTACGTTTTAATATGTAGAAATTAATACACTCCCAAAACTAAAAGCATTACCAAAAATCATACTTAGAAACATTTCTTCCCTCTGTTATTCCTTCTACCCTGCACTCCCTTATAGTTAAACAATTTTATTGGGTTTTGGCTAATAAGTCCTACATTTGTTTTGCATACAGTAAACTGATATGTGTGCTTTATTTCTCTGTCTTTCATACATAGCAGGTAGCATGCCATAGAAACTCGTCTCTTAGAGACTTTATAAAGTATCTTGTCTAAGTACCTTTATTCACAGAACAAGAAATTACAGGGTAATGCCTCCAAATGTGCCGTGGTCTTTAGTCTTGGATGTTTTTGTTTCTACTGTTCTTTGCTTCTTTTTGTTTAAAATGCGCTGTGTGCTTTGTGGGCTTCTCTTGTCTTCCTTTCTCCAAGCTTAATTGTGGTGTAGATCAGTGGCATTTCCTTTTGATATTTTACAGGTGGATTGTAAGTATTTGACAATATTTATGTGTGAACTTGCATTTTTCTTAACAGGGGGTCAGTCTGACCAAGGCTATGGGTCTAAGGATGAACTTATAAAGGATGATGCGGAAATTCATGTGTCTGAAGAGCAAGTAGCAGGAGAGTTGGCCACCAAAACAAAAATGCAAACAGAAGGTGAAGGACTGAAATATACCAGCTTTGCTTGGACAAATAAATGCCTGTGTTATTTAAACGTTACCTTTTTTTGGTCCTTTTGGCGATAACCTGCCAAAAAATGCAAGATACTATATACTGTTATACAAAATTGTCTTCTTTGTTGTTGTGTGCTGGGGAGTTGGAGCCAGCCCATAGCTGACTCTCCAGCAGGTTTTCAGAGGCAGTAAATTGCACGGGAGAATACCCATCTTTCTTCCATGGAGCAGCTGGTGGATTTGAACCTCATGCCTCTGGGATGGCAGCACAGCTTCTTAACACTAGACCATCAGAGCTCCCTAAAGTTGTCTTTAGTAGCTTCTAAATTTTGAAGTTGGAGAGACTCTTAAAGACTGTGCTTTGAAGGAAACAGCAGCCCAGCTGAAGCATTCGTTTTGATAAAATTCTGTCGCTAGTCTGTGGACAAAGCATGGACTCCACTTTGCGTTATCACAGTGGGATTCCAAGCCCAGAACACCCAAACCCATTGTCACTGAGTTGATTCCAACCTGATAACATGAAGGGCATGGCTTCATGGCAGTCAGATCGCCTCTCTATTCTCTCACGCCGAGGTGCACTTTCTCTGACGCTGGCACTCTGCTGCAGAGATTATAGAAGCAAGTCCTCTGCTAGTTGCCAAGCATTGGGGACTGTAACTAAAGGCCAGAACTTCAGTCATTTCACCTAAGAATGCTTACGTTGGGATGATAGAATACTGAAATAAAGCATTTCTTTCAGTTAGTACTGGTAGCTTTTGTGGCAGGAGGTAACTCAATAATAAAATAATTGTGCATTACCCTCTAACTTGACGGGGTCGGGGGGAATCTCTCTTCATGTTGGCAAAGTAGAAATGGTAATATCTAAATGTTTTATTCCAGATGTATGTGATATCCCTACTCTCGGGACAAAGCATTCACAAACTAGTCCAGAGTCCCAGAGTCCCGTGGAACCTCCTGTGTGGGGTGGCAGTATTGTGAAAGTTCCCTCTGGTGTATTTGATACCAGCAACAGGAAAAATAGCATTGGTGAGTCTGTATGTTTTGAGCTTGGTATTTTTTTAAAAAATTATTATTTTTTTTTTTGTGTGTGTGTGTGTGTGTACTGTCAAATCGGATCTGACTGGTACAGGAGGAGATTATCACTCCTTCTCCAGCAGAGCATCTGGTGGATTCGGGTGAGTCTGTGTATTTTTGGGGTGTGTGTGTTTGTCTGGTGACATTAAATGATTTAGATAATGGTGGTGGACATGCACAAGAATCAGAAATGAGTGGAAATCCCAGAATTGAACTAAAGTGGTGTCAACATTTCTGTCTAAAACTAGGTGAATTTTTTTACACTAAGGCTCCTTCGGGTGTTGAGTTACTTGTCTTTATACCTGTTTTCCATCATTCCTCTTCGTCACTGTAGCAGGTGAAAGAGACTTGAACCTGTGATAAGTGATTTTTAAAGGAAAGTGCAGTGTCTGCAGTTCACTTCTTCAGAGTCAGCTCTCTATATAAATGTAGCTTTTTTTATGTTTTATATGACTTTACAATCCGTGTGAAGATAGTTCTGTGCTCTGAAGGTCTTTTCTTTTTGTATTGATGCAGAGTTCAGTTTATATTTTCTTGGTGGTGCTAAAGAGGGGAAACTGAAGGAATTTAGGGGAGAGAATTAATATCTATGTTCTAGATTTCATTCTTCCCCCAAGGTGTTGAGGAGGAAAGGAGGGCCAAGTCTTCATCCGTGTGTCTTTATCTTCTAAGAATATGAAACTGTAGGGTCCGCCCTCGTTGGTTTCCTTCCCTTTTTGTTCCGCTGGTTTCCATATTTCATCTCAGTCTGGGACAGCTTGTTCTCTAAGCACATATGAGGTACTAAGGGATTTTTGCTAGTGTAGTAAGATTGAACAAAGTGCACTACCAAGTTCCTGGAAACGGAGAGATCCATACATATTTAAAAAGGTCTTTTTCTCAAATTCCAATAAATGCTTTCAAAGCAGGTACAGCTTTTGGAGTTGTAAAATAGACCCATTTAATCCCCCCCCCCCAAAAAAAATTTAAAATATATCTAAAGAACCTGGAAATTAATTTGGAAGATTAAAACAAACAAAAAAAAAACAAAAGCCAAATAGAAAACATGAAGTGTGAAGTGCAGCATTTCCCCTTAAGGCTCCCAGATCATTGCACGTCTAAAAAAAATGAATTCTACTCCTAAATAAGAATGGATCAAATAAGAAGTGGTTTTGGTCTTGGAGAGGAGAGAAATTGTATAGAGGCAAAGTGTAAAAAGCAACTTTATTTCCTCCAAAACTGAGTCTACTGACGTATTTGATGCCCTTTGATCTGCCGTAGCTGCCTCCTTTGAGGACTGACGTCTGGTTGCTCACCAGTGTTCCTGCTCCCTCACATGATGGTACTGCTTGGCGTTCAGATTATTTATTCAAGGGATAAATATATCTGAAAATTGTTTACTTCTCAGGTTTTATTAGCCATCTTAAAATTTGCCATTCTTTCCTGAACTCTTTTACTTTGAAACAGCTCTTTTCTTTTCGAGCACTGAGGTTTGCTTATAGGAAATACAGGATCCATCCAAAATTCCTGGTGAATATTTGTTGACTTGAATACATGAAAGCAAAAATAAGAGTCCTCAACAAGATAGATGACCTTCAAGAGAGATGTGATCGTTTGTTTGTGGGGTCTCTGTGAGTCATAGTTGACTTGGGAGCATCTAACAACAATAATTTAGCTGAGAATGTATTTTTTAAGAAATTTAGTTCAAAATTTTTTTTTAAAATTATTTTATATTGGTTTGCATACAAAATTTGTATACATTGTTTTTCACACTTTCCTTTATTCACATTGGTGTTCCATACAATCATTTCCATACATTGTATTTTATAAACTTAATCCTCATTTAATTATACCCACCATTGCCCTGTCTTTGCAGGCGCCTACATCTTAAGATGTTAAAGGACATAGCCCTAATTTCATTGATGAATATGCATTTTTGTCAACAATACATATATCTACAACATACACTGCATGAGCCATCTATTTTTATTTTTTTTTCTCTGTAAATGTTTATGAAAATCAATAAAATACAATTATAGAAAAAAAACAAACAAAAAACAAAACAAAAAAAACACATAAATGACTATTCTACCAAGCTTGGTGCAGTCAGTTATTTTTCATTAGCGGAATCAAGCATACAAGATAGGAGTGGGGCCAGCCTACATATAGCCAGTATTTCCTGAACTTCCCTTTCCAAATCTAGAGGCAAGGCAGGAACTAGATAGGGTTTCAACACACCACACAATAATAAAAGCCTCTACATTTTCAGTTTTTAATGAAGTTGTGTTAGTATTTTACTCCTGCATCTTCTCAATTGTTTCTTCCTTATATTTGCCCTTTTCTTTTCCAACTTGGCGAGATTTAGCTTTACGTTCAAGGATCTTTTTTCTGTCTTTATCCAGTTTTAGCTTAGTGATAACCACCTTGCTAGGGTGAATGCCCACATGGACCGTTGTGCCATTAGCTTTTTCTCACTGCACTCGTTCAATGTAGATGACATATTTCTTCCTGTAAACCTGAACTACTTTGCCAATTTGCTGACCTTTATAGTGCCCTCGTACAACCTGAACTTCATCATCCTTTCGGATGGGTATGGACCGCACGTTGTATTTCTGCCTCAGCTCCTTGGACAGAGGAGAAGACATAATCTTCCTTCGAACGTGAGAGGGTGCATTGAAGTGCCTTTTACGGTTTTTGCTCCGGTCAGAAGTCACAAAAGGATTGAACTTCATTTTGGCCGCTGCCGCTTCAGCGATGGCCACCTACACTGCATGAGCCATCTATTTTTAAATGTGTATACATATAAATAGAGGTTGAAAGGCAGCTATATACGTTAAAAGGTTCATTAACTTTAAGAGGCAGGATTGAATAGCCTTTTCTATACTTCTTCATATTTTTGTTACTTCCGAGTCTGACTCCGAGCATGTGTATAGAGGCTAATTTTTTCTTATTTGACTTTCTTTTTCAGACAGTACATCAAGTGTGATGTTATCTTCTCCAGATCCAGTGGAAGAAGTAGTGTTTGATGATGGTACTAATCTTAAAAAGACCGGTGATCGAGGAGAAAAAAGGCAAAAGCATTTTTCAGAGAGGAGTTGTAGTTTTAGTTCTGAAAGTCGAGCAGGCATGTTGCATAAGAAGAGCAGCATGGATTTGAATTCGAGCGAGGTGGCCATCATGCTGGGAGCAGATGCCAAGATTCTGACAGCAGCCTTGACGGGTCCTAAGACTTCTCCACTCCACAGCCCAAAACCCCAGAGCTTTGAGCCCGCTAGCTGTCCTGTAGCTGACCCGCGAGCCCATGTGTCCGAAAGCACTTGGGAGTCAGAGCATAGGTCCTCTCCGGTGTTAGAGATGCTCGAGGAGAGTCAGGAGCTCCTGGAGCCTGCAGCTGATGATAATGTAGCTAAAACTACCACGACACAGGATGCCTGTGACAGTTCCCAGGAAGACGGCAACAGTAACCAGAGCAGAGACTTGAAGGCAGGACACAAAGATCCAGTAAGTAAGAGAAGCAATGTCTACAGCATGGCTAAAGCTGTGGAAAGGGAAGATGTTGAAAAGGGGCTGGATCCTCTGTCTCTCTTTGCCACCGAATGTACAGGCAACAAAACTCCTGATTCGGAAGAGAAAGCATTTTCACCAACTATTGCACGTAATCTCGCCGATGAAATTGAAAGCTATATGAACCTTAAAAGTCCCCTGGGCAACAAGTCTTCTAGTATGGAGTTACATGGAAAAGGACACAAGGAGCCTGCCCCCAGCCCTGCGTTTATTCACCCTTTAGAGAGGAGATCAAGTCTACCTTTAGATCATGGCCCGCCAACCCAGGAAAAGCCCAAGGGTGGAAAGAGTCCTCCCACGGTGTCCAGGTCTAAAACCTTCACTGGGCATTTTAAAGCGCAGACTCCCTCTCGATCTTACAAAGAGCGTTCGACTTCTTTGTCAGCGCTGGTGCGTTCCTCGCCACACGGCTCTTTGGGGTCTGTGGTAAACTCGTTGTCGGGGCTAAAGCTGGATAATATACTCTCAGGGCCCAAGATCAACGTCCTCAAAGTTAGTATGAAACAAGCCGCCTCAGCCGCTGGTAAAGTGTGGGAAGCCGTAACATCGGTCTACAGCTACTCCGATGATGAGGTAAGAAAGTCCTGTGTGTGTTCTGATATTGAAGTGTTTTGTCTGTTTTTCTCTCCTTTCAGTGAACTACTATTGAAGACCTCTTGTGACTGGTGAATTGGAACCACTGGAGATGAATGGCCTTTGGGTCAGCAGGACAGTCAGTGCCCTTCAGACTGTGCCTCAACTTGAACATCCGTGTTATTGTTTTGTGCTGTCAAGTTGTAACCCACTCATAGCTGACCCCCAGTGGTTTTTCACAGCCTGTACATTGCAAAGGAGGAGATTGCCTATCTTCCTATCATGGAACAGCTACTGAATGGATTCCAACTGTATGCCTTCTCTTTGGCAGTGCAAGTCCTTACCACTGGGATACCCAAGAAAGAAAATATCACACACTTTAAACAGTATTGTAATTCATTGCTGCCACATTGATTCCAAATCATAGTTACACTGTAGGGCAGAGTCTAATGTCAGCAGGATTTGCAAGGCCGTAATCTTTGCAGTCCATCGTGGCAGTCAACCATGGCAGTCCATCTGGTTGAGGGTCTTCTCCTCTGCTGACCCTCCACCCTTCCCAGCATCATGTCCTTCTCCAAGGAATAGCCCCTCCTAGCAACATCCAAAGTATGTGAAGTAAAGCCTCACGATCACGATGGCTATACCGTCTCCAAGACATATCTGTTTGTTCTCTTGGCCATCTGGGATGTTCAGTGCTCTTCTCCAACAGCTGGGGTTTTTTTTTCTTTTTTTAACACTACAGCTCTTGTGTGTCAGGAATTGTGAGGCTACAACAGAGTTCAGCTCCTTTTGTTCTTAGTGTCTTATGAATCGTACTCAACTTGACAGATGAATCATACTCATCTTGATAGCACCTAACAACAACAACAGTCTTTGCAAAAGCAGACTGTCCCAGAACATCTGGTGGTTTTAAACAGTCAATCTTTTGGTTACCAAATGAGCATTTAACCACGTGCTATTAGGACTTTGTATGTAACTACTTATCAGTCTCTATTAAATCATTAGGCTTATTTATTTGAAAACACTGACAGTATTTGAATCTTACTAGTAATGCTGCTCTGTTGACGGAGTGAACTGTCACTATGTGAGTACTTTTAGTGTCTTTACAGATCTGTCTTGTACGAAGTACAGCCAGAGTACTCCTTAAAAGCAAAGATGGTTAGGCTGTAGCTCATATACGCAACAGTGGTTCAGTGTCAGCTGCTAACCGAAGGCCCATGCTTTGATTCCATTAGCTGCTCCGCGAGGGAATGATGTGGCGATCTGCTTCATAAAGATTACAGCCTCTGCACTGCAATCCCAGAGGCACGTGGTTCGAATCTACCAGATGCTCTGCTGTAAGAAGGAGGGGCAGTCTCTTTCTGTGCCAGTCAGATCTGATTCGACGATACACACGCGCGTACAAATTTTTTAAAAAAGGAAAAAAAAATTACAGCTTCAGAGACCCTCTAGGACAATGCTGCTCTCTCATGGGGTCACATCTGTTATTATGGCATCAAGTCGGAACCAACTCATAGCTGACCCTTGAGCAGGTTTAAGTAACTTACCTTTTTTATATGTATGGAGTTTACTCTGCAGTTTAATACATTTCACTACTGTGTGCTTAAAAAATTCTTTTAAAAATCATTGTGAACTCTCAAAGCTAAGCCATAACTTACTGTACTTGAGCAGTGTGGTCTCTTAAGGTCTTTTCTATATATGAATCAAACTGACACCAGCAACTAGGCAACTTAGGGGCCCGAGAGTTTATGTTAATGGAGGAGGAAGAGCTCAGAAAGCGGTGAGAATGGTTGCCCAACTCTGAGAACATACTGGCACTGAATTTCATGTGTAGAAGTTGTTGAATTGGTATATATTCTGCTCTGTGTGTCCTCTATAAAGGACATCAGTAAAAAGGAAGTACAAAATTGTAAGGACAATTAATCATTAGATCATTTTAGGAAAATAGAGGTGAAGCAAATGAACTAGTTTTATTGAAAAAAAAGTAATTGATTTCATCTTTATGTTCATAACATTTATATACCACATGTATAATAGAAAAGACAATTATCTCTGAATGTTTGCTATTGGCACTTGAGCAACACAGGAGTTAGGAGTCAGCGACCCTCTTCACTGTTAGAAATTTATGTAGGACTCTTGGCTGGAGAGATCTCTTCACAAGGAGATGATGAGTGTCACATAATGTTCTAAGTGGATATTTGAGACACTTGAGCTCGCTGAAGTAATTGAAGAGCCAATATTAGAATCTGGCTATCTGAATATAAAACACTATTTGTACAAGGACCGTTGATGAGATTTTGAGCTCCTAGAGTTCCTTTGTTTTACTGAGGCAGGGAGCACAGGAGCATAGTCCATAGAGCCTTGCACACACTTCAGGGCTTGACACAGTTTCAGTTCACCAGCGATTTTACCAGAGAAAGACGGGAAGTCTCCTCCCATTCAATATATCCCCTCAGAAACCCCCTAGAGGGCAGCTATGAATTGGTTCCAGCAAAGCAGTGTGAGGGCAAACAAGGAGTCCTGAAACAGGAAGCAGTCATTTGAACTGAACAAGGGGGTGCTGTGTGGTTTAGAATCAGGAAAGATGAGTGTGTGCTTTATACCTTTTCTCCATACCTGTTCAGGCTGTATGTTGAGCACATCCTTCAAGAAGCTGGACCATATGAAGAAGAATATGACATTGGGGTTGGAAGAAGACTCATCAACAAACTACATTGTGAAAAGGACGCAACTTTGCTTGCAAAAATGTGAGGAAAATCGAGGACTGTAGTTTTCAATGTGGACTATAGCTCAACATCAAGGAAACTAAAGTCCTCGCCAGTTGACCAACAGGCAGCATCATGATGGAAAAAGAGATTGAAGTTATCAGTGATCTGGCTTCATTTGTATCTAATCAGCATTGCTTTGGACAAATGGACTGTCAGGGACCTCTTGAAAAGGCTAAAGAACAAGAACAAGGATGTCAGTTTAAAGTTGGCCGGACCCAAGGCTTGGTATTTTCCTTTGCTTCATATGCATGTGAAAGTTGGCCTACAGATAAGGAAGACCGAGGAAGAATTGTGATGTTTGAGATGTGATGTTGTTGAAGAATAGTGAACATAACCTGGATGGCCGAAAGAACAGAGCTGTCTGGGGGGCAGTGCAGCCAGGGTGAGTGCTCCTTAGAGGCAAAGGTAATGAAAGGTCTTCTCACATACTTTGGGCCTGTTGTCAGGAGGCACCAGGCCTTGGAAAACGACATGCTCGGAAAAGGATGAGCCGTAGCTGGCTCTGCAGCACCTGATACCAGCATCCTAAACTTGCACCACAAACACAACAGAAATCTTCACTACGAAGACATTGCTTGAATGCGTGCTTGGGTCTAGAAGATGAATTCCAGATAATAGTGATAAGAATTTGTGATTTTGAGAAATACTGTGACAGTGGTTTAAGTATTACAAAAGAGTTTATTAAGAGCATGTTACTCATGCGTGTGGTTTTATTCTTTTTTAATTCAAGGAGGAACCAAGTAGAGATTACAGCTTCCCAGCCGGCCTAGAAGACCATATTTTGGGAGAGCCTAACGTGGGTATGGGCTCCAGTGAGCTCACCCAGAGCACCACGAGCCTGGGCAGCAGCAGCAGCAGCGGAGACGTGGGCAAACTGCATTACTCCACAGGTACAGAGAGCGACTTGTCTTCCTTCAGTGTTTGCACGTTTACTCAGTTCACCTTCTTTCCACAGTACAACACACTAAACCACATTTGTTTAGATAATCTGATATTTTTAATACTAGCCATGTCTTTTACTCTCAACAGGTGATGTTCTATATCCAAGAGGATTAAAAGGGCAGGACTTTGAAAAATCAGAGCATGGTTCTTCCCAAAATACTAGCATGTCGAGCATCTATCAGAATTGTGCAATGGAGGTAAAAGTTCTGTATTCTTCCCAGAATAAAATGACTGTGAGAATATATTTTTATATACATTTTTTATGTTATTAATTTTAATGAACATTTACAGAGAGTTTGGATTTCCATTCATTCATTCATTGTTGCACTTTTCTCCCCTGCCCTCCCCTCCCCCCCAGTTTGCTCTTCTGTTTGAAAAGTAAAAGAAAAATTCCTTCATTGGTATTATTTTAGAATGGTATTTAATTCCATGACACCTTTGTGGAAAGAATATTTTTTTTTTAAATTTGCTTAGTCTCTGTGTAAGGAAACCAGTGAGCTATAATTTTTGCCTACAGCAGGCCCTGTTAATTCCAAATTTGATTACCAGGACAGGAAATCTGTTTAGGAGAATATTGTGTTGAGATTCCGTTTTCCTTCTGTTGTTAGCTAATAACAAGTCACTTGTGACACAGTCTGATTCCACATTTGCAGAGAAGTGTCTGAAGCACTGGCTGGTGGGAAGCACGCTGGTCAGAGGCACCTGTGGGTGTGTTCACACTGCCTGCGCCTTTTGGTTAATGATCAAGTGCTTACCCATTTGTGCCGCCCGGGGTGGTAATTTCCACCACGGATGTTCTCATGCTCTGCATTTTTGTGTTCTTAGGTGTTGATGTCGAGCTGCTCACAGTGTAGAGCTTGTGGAGCTCTGGTTTATGATGAAGAAATCATGGCTGGTTGGACTGCCGATGACTCCAATTTGAATACAACCTGCCCATTCTGTAAAAGCAATTTCTTGCCTCTTCTCAATATAGAATTTAAAGACCTGAGGAGCTCTGCAAGGTCAGTATTGTAAAACTTCCCTTAATTACTCACAGGTAACAATCATAAAAACTCAAAGCACCAGCGGTACCTACGTCAGTTCTAACCCATAGTGACCACCCATGAGGCTTCCAGGACGTAAAACTTTACCAGATGAGCCCGCCCTCCCCTCTCCTGGGGAGCAGCTGGTGGATTTGAACTGCCGTCGTTTAGGGTTAGCACCCTGATAATACTGCGCACTAGGCCGCCTGGGCTCCATTTAGAGATAAGTTCCCCCAGGAAAGCATGAGTCCTGGGAGAGGAGTGAAATTGTTGATGGTGTGCCCAGGGGTATTTTCTTTCTCTCTGCAACTTAAGCATTTGAGCAGAAAATATTGGTCATTTAGATAACTGCATTTGAGTCTTGATTAAATAGTAATTGTTGTTGTACATCATTGAGTCAGAACTGACCCATAGCTGATGCTATGGGAAGAGATTCTCTCTTTCTCCTGTGGAGCAGCTGATGAATTCAAACCACATACTTTTGCATTGGCATCACACTTCCTTACCACTAAGCCACCAGAGTTCCCATAAGTAGTTGTTAGGTGCTGGTCTAATCTAGTTTTCCAAGTATCATCGACTAATGAACCTATCTTATTTGATTCCTTATGGATATGTTATTGTGTACCATTGATTAAGAGCCAACCCATGGCTGACCCTCGAGTGGGTTTTCAGAGGCAGTTAATAGCACAGGAGGAGACTGCCCGTCCTTCTGCAGAGCATTTGGTGGATCCCAACTGCATGCCCTTGAATCTACATATTGATATATAGTGTTGCCTTGTTCAAATATCAATAAGACTAATATTCTTCAATCTGGTTCTGAATTCATGTGTTCTTTTTTTGTTTCTACTATATTGTTTTTATTACTCTGTTTATTTAGCATCTTGTAGGATGAGTTCCCTCTGTGGTTTTTTTCCTTCCTCCTTAAAATTATCTACCAGCTGCCTGGGCAGTGCCAAAAACAATTGGAACGAATGCTAGCCATACTCTACACATTGTGTATATAGTGAATCCAGTGGACTTAGCTTCATTAAAATTCTCTGGGACACCCCAAGTCTTGATGGCATAAACAGTGCATGTGACCATAAGAAGATTGTTCTATTCCGAGGGACAGATGATTTTGAGATCTGTAATGTCACATGTGAGAACTTGGGGTTCATTGTCTTATATACGTCGTAGTCTGTGATGATGTTGAGTGGATCAACACCAAACCAAATAAAAACACCTAAAAGCTGAACTGACATTAAACTAGAAGTAATTGCCAGCTGGGATGTTTGGCTTATGAGTCTGGGAGCTACCCCTGCCTTCTTGCCCTGATCACACAAATTACCACACTTAAAATCCCCAGGAAGCCAAGTGTGTCCATGGCCCTCAGAATGTGCTGTACATGCCGAAAGTGAGTGTACATCATCATTTTCCACCCTGAACTTAGTGTCCAGAAGCGAAGCTTCAAGGCAGCAGTCAGCCAACCAGGTTATCACAATTGTACATAAACCCAGTGAGACCCAACATTGAGGCAGAGACAACTCTGAAAAAGTAGACCCAAACAATTTTAAACTTGAGAATTTAATGAAAATGTTTTTCCTTCTCTTGATAGCTTTTTAAAACTGTTGGGATATTATATTGAGTTATAGTGACATTCTAGATATTTTACTTTGAAAAGTTGAGAATGGAAGGATCGTGGAGCATGAGAGGAGGAGTGTATGCTTTTGAAACAGACAGTATTCCTCCCGGGAATTTATAGCTCACTGATGACTTTACCATAAAGTAACTCTTAAGTGTAATGAAATTTAGAAGATGCTCAGCTCTTTAAGACTTTTTTTTAATGCCCTGTATTTAGCTTTTACCTGAAACCGAGTACTTCTGGTGACAGTTTACAAAGTGGCAGTATTCCATTGGCAGCTGAGCCCCTGGAGCACAAACCTGTATCCAGCACAGGAGAGCCTGACTTGATCAACTTTATGGATTTGCCAAAACATCCCCATACCATAACTGAAGAGACAAGTGCTGCAGTTGAATCAAGGTACCATGAGTCCAAGGAACCCTTTAGAATAAATGGGGGTCCTCTTGTCAAAATTCCATCGCTAAAAACGAACAGTCTTATGTAGGCATAAATTATTATCATATGTTTCAATATCTTATGAATGAATCTAATGATAAGCCATTTTTAGAACTAAGTTCAAGGTCTTACATTAATGTTTTACAAAATTAAATTTTCATCAGAATAAAATCTCTTCTGATAAAATGTAGTCCTTGAGGCTAACATGTGAACCGAGTAAGGGAACAACACTGCATGGTTTAATATGGGAAAAGTGTGCGTCAGAGCTGTATCCATTCTCCATACCATTCAGTGTACTGAACAAATGGTTTGAGAAGCTTGACTCTATGAGGAAGAATGTGGCATCAGGATTAGAGGAAGACCCATCAACAGTTTGCATTATGCAGATGACACCGTCTTGTTTGCCAGAAGTGAGAACTTAAAGTACAGAAGTGCAGAAGATCTAAGACTACAACCTTCGATACAGATTACATCTCAACATCAAGAAAATAAAAATTCTGGGCCAATAGGCAATATCATGATAGATGGAGAAAATGTTGAAATTGTTAATGATTTCATCTTATTGGATCCACAGTCAGTATCCTTCCTACGAGCAGAGAAGAACACAGGAAACATGTTGCATTCAGAAAATCTGTTGTCAGGGACTTTTCCAGGAGTTCTAAGGAGCAACTATGTAGATTTAAAGACTCAGGTGCACTTTATTCAAGCCCTGGTCTTTTCACTTCTTTTCTGTGCATCTGAAAGTTGGACAGTGACTAAGGATGAAAACAGAACCGATGACTTTGAATTGTGGTGTTGGTGAAGACTGCTGAATATCCTATGGACCTGCCTGAAAAAGCCATAAAAATGTATCGTGGGGAAAATGCAGTCAGGGCAGTGCTTAGTGATTTGCATGGCAAGGCTTTGTCTTATGATTTGAGCATGTTGTTAGGACAGGCCAGTCATCATGCTTGGAAGGGTGGGGGGTCGGTGAATGAGAGATCCTCAATGAAGTACATTGACACAGTAACTAAAAATAGGCTCATGTCTATCCGAGGCGATGCAGATGGCACAGAATAGTTCAGTTCTGTTGTTCATAGGGCTGTCATGAGTTGTACTCGACTCAGTGACACTTAACAATAACACGACAACATTAATATGTGAGAAACATTCTTTTACCATATAATACCATAATCAATAACATTGATTGAATGCAATCTTTATTTCTTTTCCTCTTACACACTGTGAATTTTCTCTTTAATGAGGACACTCACCTAACTCTTGGAGGCCCTGTGTATGTTAGAGTGGAGCTGTGCTCTCTAGAGTTTTCCATAGCTCTCTTTTGTTTTATTTTGTAACTCCCTTTGTGGAAATATAGCAACAGATACTTCTTCCAAAATATTACCAAGTGAACTAGAACATCAACATTTTACGTTTTTTTTACATTGTGTGTTTGTGTGCATGAACTTTGAGTGAAAATTTTCATCGCGTATCAGTTTTTTATTCAATCATTCATACACCTTTTGTTTTACAATATTATAATATTCATAATCTAATCACTCCTCTTCCTTCCTTTTAATTCTAGTTTCCATTAATCCTTCTATCCTACACCTTCTTTTTACAGGGCTTTTTTCTGAAAATATATGCACTTTTTACCTTATATGGTTGATTATTTTGAGAAGTGAATACTTCTCTGGTGTTAATGATCTTGTTATAGCTTTGATTACTGGACCCAAGCATTTATCAAAGCATTTATTAGGCTAAGTTCTACAATGGAAAAGTAAATAAGATTCTATGTTTATCCTTCTCTAGTAGTCATAGCAGAATATTAAATGAGCCAGTAAGTATTAAAATAAAATGGAAAGAATATACTGAGTCACTGCATCAAAAGGAATTGGCAGACTTGAAAGAATTTAATGAAACAACATATGAGCAAGAGCCTATGGTGTTGAAGGAAGAAGTTCAGACTGCGTTGAAGGAAATAGCAAAAAATAAGGCCCCGGGAATAGATGGTATACCAATTGACATATTTCAGCTAACAGATGCTGCCCTGGACGTGCTTACCAAGTTGTGCCAAGAAATCTAGAGAACAACCACTTGGCCAACTGACTGGAAGAGCTTTATATTTGTTCCCATTCCAAAGAAGGGTGACCCAACAGAGTGTGGAAACTATAGAACAATATCATTGATTTCACATGCAAGCAAGATTCTGCTGAAGATTATCCCAAAAACGACTGGAACAGCACATCAGCAGAGAACTGCCAGAAGTCCAGGCTGGGTTTAGAAGGGGTCGTGGTACTAGCGATATTGTAGCTAATGTTAAATGGATCTTCGCTGAAAGCAGGGAATACCAGAGGAATGTATATTTATGTTTCATTGAGTATGCAAAGGTGTTTCACTGTGTGGATCATAACAAACTGGCTGACTCTGAGAAGAATGGGAATCCCAGAACACTTAATCGTGCTTGTACTTGGAAGCTGTACTTGGACCAAGAGGCAGTCATCAGAACAGAGCGAGGAAACACTGCATGGTTCAAAATTGGGAAGGGCGTATGCCAGGCATGTGTCCTGTCTCCATACATTTTCAACCTATATGCAGAAAAGATTATCCGGGAGGCTGGGCTCTGTGAGTAGAAGTGTGGTGTCAGGATGGGTGGAAGATCTATCAACAATCTTCGTTACGCAGATGTGACACAACCCTGATTGCTGAAACTGAGGAGGACCTGAAGCGCTTGCTGCAGAGGGTCAAGGACTGCAACCTTCACTATGGATTGAGGCTCAATGTCAAGAAGACAAACATTCTTACCTCTGGATAGTTGGCAGCATCAAGATGGATGGTGAAGCCATTGAGATTGTTCACAGCTTTTATTTGCTTGGCTCCACAGTCAACACTCTTGGCACCAGTACTCAGGAAATTAAAAGACATATTGTGATGTGAAAGTCGGCTGTTAGGGACCTCTCTAAAGTGCTGAAGAGCAACGGTGTCTCTCTGGAGACCAAGGTGTGTCTGATACAGGCCATGGTCTTTGCAGTCACTTGTTATGCATCAGAGAGTTGGACAATGACTAGGGAGGACGGAAAGAGAATTGATGCCTTTGAGCTGTGGTGCTGGAGAAGAGTGTTGAGGGTACCATGGACTGCTAGGAAACCAAACAGATTCATTTTGGAGAGGGTTAAATCGGGTGGCTCCTTGGAGGCAAGGATTCTGGGGCTTCGTCTGACACACTTTCGACATGTTGTAAGGAGGGACGGGTCCTTGGAGAGGGACATCATGCTTGGGGGGTGGAGGGACAGCACAGGAGGGGAAGGCCCTCTATGAGGTGCATTGATTCAGTGGCTGGGGTAATCGGGATGGGCGTGTAGGAGACAGTGTGATTGCCAAAGGACAGAGCAGGGTTTAGGGCTGTTGTATGTAGGGTCACTATGAGTCGCAAGCAACTCAACAGCACATAACAACAACAACAACAACAGTAATGGCCTGATTAAGAAATGTACTTGATCATGAATGTATAATAAGTTTTTCATGTAACATGCTTCTGGTAATTTTGTTTAATGAAGATAAAATAATGCTTTAATAATTTGATCTTTTGAAAATAAGTTGCTATTCTCCTCCATGTATCCTCTTGCCACCTCTCATCAGAGTCACTCACTCCATTCTGGTTTTTGCCAGTTTTATAAAACTGCTTGAAAAAAACATAATTCTAATGTGATGGTAGAAGTTCTATTTCGTATATTCAAATTTCATTGAAGAAGATAGTCTAAAAATGTGCATTTTTTCCCTTGCACAATTATAAACATTTCTTTTGTTCTTTTCTTTTTAAGTGATGAGCTAAAGAAAGATGGTGGAAATGATGCCCAAACTATGAAAATCTCACCAGCACCTAATAGTTTATCTAAACGAAGTATATCTTTGACTCGAAGTCACAGTGTTGGAGGCCCCTTGCAAAACAGTGATTTTTCTCAGCGACCATCTCACGGCATTTCGACAGTTAGTCTTCCTAATAGTCTGCAGGAAGTTGTGGTAAGGGCACCATGATTGCATTGTGTGTACATGTTCTTATTAGATCAACACTCTACTAGAGAGAATTTTTTTTAATTTATTATTAATTTCAGTGAAAATTTACAGAGACATTGGATTTCCATTCATTTATTGTTGCACTTCTCTCCCCTCCCCTCCCTTCCCTCCTCCCTAGTACACTACCCTCTTTGAAAAGTAAAAGAAAAATTCTTTCATTGTTTCACAGTCCCTCCCCCCCAGGTCCAATGCACTGTGCAGCCTTCGCTCTGGACTCCTGTCATGACAAAAATACCTAATCACATAGCCCTTTTAAATAGTTTTCACCCTCATCTCTTTCAATGCAGTATACATTATCCCATCTTTTTCAGTCTCCCCCCAACCCTGAGGTAAGTCCTGTTTTACAACAGTGGCACCATGCAGTATTTGTCCTTTTGTGACTGAGATACTTCACTCAGCATAATGTCCTCCAGGGTCACCCATTTTGAATAATATTGCATGAGTTCCTTGTTTTGCAATGCAGTGTAGTTTTCCCTTGTGTGAATATACCACAGCTTCTCTATCCATTTACTTGTTTATGGGCATTAGGTTGTTTCCAACTCTTTGCTATTGTGAACAAAGCCGTGATAAACATGGGTGTGCATATATCTGTTTGGATGTCGGTTATGGTCTCTTTGGGGTATATTCCCAGTAATGGAATTGCTGGGTCAAATGGTATCTCTATTTGCAACTTTTTGAGAAAGCACCAAACCACCTTCCACAGTGGTTGCACCATTTTACACTCCCACCAACAGTGAATAAGGATTCCAGTTTCTCCACAACCTCACCAGCACTTGTTGCTTCTTGTTGTTAAATTTTGCTATTCTTACTGGGGTGATATGATTTAATCATATGAAAAATTTTAGGAATGTTTTGAACAAATTAAGATTTTTATAGAAACTTTTCCACTTTGAAGAATTTTAGAATGAAAGTGTAAGAGTTCACCTATTCCCGTGTTAAACATTCCTTCATCTAGATCTGACCATTTTCAACTTAAGGCCAGAGAAATGTATTCCGACTCAGGCCTTTGTTCTGTTGCCCATTTGTTTGTTTTTACTAGACTACTTCAGTGGTTGTAGGAGCCCATACTGTGTGGTTCCTGTTGTTGTGACCCTAGTAACAGTTGTGCCAGAATATTTATATCAATTAATCTATTAGGCACTGTGTTGTTGTGTACCATTGAATCAGAATTTGACTCCTAGCTGACCCTCTAAGAGAGTTATCAGAAGCTGTACATTTCACAGGAAAGAGTGCCCATCCTTCTCCCACAGAGCATCTCCTGGATTCAAACCATATACCTTTGGGTTGGCAGTGTAGTTCCTTAACACTAAGCCATCAGAGCTCCCTGTTGGAGATTGTAACAGGATTCAGGTCTGTCAATTCTTTTATTATATGGAATATATCTATAAAGAATGCATTCTGCTTGGTTTTCTAGATGTACAGCTTTCATTGGAAGGGCTAGATAATATTTGATTCTTTTTTACCAGTTTTCAGCATAAACTTGGTCCCTAGCATTCTCCATGATGATCAGTTAATCTAAAGAACAGTATAATATCATGATGAGGTCATAGATTGGAGCATTTATGTTTTAATCCATTGCTATTGGTTTCTTGATTGATGTTTATATTATCCTGCCTTTGGCCAGCTGGAAGTTTCTGCAGGTTGGCTTCTTAGTCTTTTGACACAGCTCTTAATAGCTTTTTTTGGGGAGAGGAATCTTTTTTAAGTGCCCTTACTTTTTTTATGTGACAAGATGTTTCATATTTATATGTGTGTGTACTTACACAAGGGCACTTCAGAGGTGTTTTGGTTTCGTTTTTAGGTTCCTGTTATTGTGTGCACTCTCTCTCGCAGTGTGTGTGTGCGCGTGTGTGTGTGGCTTTTATTAGAATGTTCTTCTGCATACAGTCACAGCCTGAAATAACTGATATTAGCAGAGTAGATAGAGCAGCACAGTCCAATTGGGAAGTACTTCTTAAACATTCAAGATGAAACAGATACTTTTAATTTATTTTTGTTTTCTTTCAGGATCCATTAGGCAAGAAGCCCAACCCTGCCCCTGTTTCTGTGCCATACTTGAGTCCTCTCGTGCTTCGTAAAGAGCTTGAGTCTCTGCTAGAAAATGAAGGGGACCAGGTGATCCACACATCCTCTTTCATCAATCAGCATCCCATCATTTTCTGGAACCTCGTTTGGTATTTCAGACGTTTGGACCTTCCTAGTAACTTGCCAGGACTTATCCTCACATCAGAACATTGTAATGAAGGCATACAGGTAGGGTGCCAGCTTCTCCTCTTAATGTCCTTTGTCTTGGTTAGGATGAGGCTTAACTTGAAGTAAAAAAAGTATTTCATAATAGTAGCTTAACAAAGTGTTAGTTTCTTTCATTCTCATTTAGCTATTTGGGTAGGTGGGCTAGGGAGCTGAGTGTCAGAGACCTGAGATCTTTCTATCTTTTTGCTCTGGTGTTGTAAGACCCCTTTGTCCAAGAAGGGTTCATGATACAGAATTGCTAAATAAAGCTCCAGGTTAATACATGCACATTCCAACCAACAGTATGAAGGATGAATGGAGAAGAGCTTATCTTTTTGTTTAGAGATGGCTCCTAGAAGTTGCACATATTTCCACTTCTGTCCACTTGGCCAGAAATTCATTTTATGATCATATCTAGTTCAAAACTAGTTTTTATTTTGTGTAATCGTATTCTCAGCTGAAATTACCACAACAGCCTTATTTGATGGGCTTTTATTTTTGTCGGTGTTTTTCAGACAGTATGATGAAAAGTTAGAAATGTTGAATAATCTCATCTTTATTCAACATCACATGTGGAGGATCAGAAAAACCTGTACCTCCAGAAATAATAACATGTATCCTAAGCCATAAATTGAAATTTAAAAATTTAGTCCAGCCTTTCAGTTTTAAAAGAGTCACCTGCGTTAAGTACTGTCATAGTTTGCTAGATTGACTAATAGTTACTAAGCCTGAGTTTTAATATTTTCTCTGGTCCTTTGTAGCTTCCTCTATCATCTCTGGCCCAGGATAGCAAACTTGTGTATATTCAGTTGTTATGGGATAATATCAACCTTCACCAGGAACTGGGAGAACCTCTGTATGTGTCATGGCGGAATCTCAGTAAGTAAAAGGAAATGAAACTGGAAACAACCCAATGTCTGTTTAATTAGGAATAAGACAGTTGAGGTATATCCATCCACACAGTAGAATTCTAATTCAGCGATTAAAAAAAAATTGATTACTGAAAAATAAAAGGATTAAGAAGATGAAAAAAAATTATTTTGCTATATTTTCAATTCCTATTTTTTTAAAAAAATGTATTATTATTTGTTATATGTGTACCGTCAAATTGGATTTGACTGGTACAGGAGAGGATTGTTCCTCCTTCTTCAGCAGAGCATCTGGTGGATTTGAACTGCACACCTCTGGGATTGCAGTGCAAGTCCTATTTTTTGGTACCTTCTCCAGATTCTTGTAATTTTAATTGAAATTAATTTGCTGTTGAACTTCTCAGATTTCAGCTGAGTTGCAAAGTAGCTTTCTGTATGTGTATGTGTCTAGTTTTGTTCTCTGCGCTCGAAAAGGACTTTGGATGCAGTGACACCGGAGCATAATTATACAGTTATATGGAGACTAGTTATAAGAAACTCAGACTCCATATTTAGTCCTGTTATTTTGGAATATATTTTTAAGGAGTTATAAAAGGGTATCATTTATGAATTCGGATGTTCTGTGAGTCAGATTGGGAGCTCTGGTGGCCTTGAAGCCATGGTGCAATCCTGAAGGCACCTAGTTCAAGTCCACCAGCTGCTCCATGGGAGAACAATGGGCAGTCTTCTCCTGTGCCATTAACTGCCTCTGACAACCCACCAGAGGGTCAGCTTTGGGTCACTTCCAATCACTGGTACACAACAACAACATGAGTCAGATTGTGAGGCTAGGACAGGGCTCAGATTTGTTGGTCACAGGCTTGCTATGAGTTGTACTCAACTCGGCAGCAACTAAAATAAAAAATATCATGAATCATAAAAACCACAAACAAAAATGAGTCTTGGCAAAGTTAAAAACAACCCAGTAGAACAAAAAAGTAAATTATATTAATAGATAGTTTCATAAAAGGAATGTTGAATGGGTTGTAAATATATTACAAACTGATCAGTCACATTGTATTCTGTAAAAGTGCAGCTTTTCAAAACAATGAAAATGTAAACTTGTCCATGTCAGGTTAGGAAAACATTATAAAAGATTTATAATACCTATTATTGCTATGGATGCACGGGGAGAGAAACTTTCAAACACTCTTAACTCATTGCTGTTGAGCTGGCACTCACTCATAGTTTCTGAGGCTGTAAATCACATGAGAAGAGACTGGCCACCCTTCTCCCATGAGGATTGAAAGAATCACTGAAGAATCATGGCCTTTGTGGTAGCAGCATACCTCCCTGTGACCTACACTTCCAGGACTCCCTCGTCTACTCTTAGAGTAGAATAGTAAAATAATACATTGTGGGGGAACAGTATGGAAAATTCTGTCCAGGTAAAATACATGGATGTTGTTTACCCTAACGCTTGCACTAATAAGACAGTGTCCTACAGAAATGAAATATATAGCACCGTGTGTACAAGGGTGTTGACTGAACTGTTGATAATAATGAAGTATTTTAAGTAACCAATAGGAAACTTGCAGTAAAGCCACACTACAAAATTTTGGCAGCCAAGAAAAGAATGTGATAGATTTGTACAAAGGAATGCCCATTACATATCGAGTAAGAAAGACATGTTGCAGAAAAGGTAAAATAAAAAATACGTATAGAAAAAGTTCTGCAAAGATACACCTCAAAACTGTCAGAAATGGCAACTGGGAAGAAATTTACCATTTTTAAAATTGTATTACACTTTTGAACTGTCATAACTTAGCAATTTGTGTTTTTTAAAAATTAAAAGAATCTGATTATACCCTTAAAATTTCCCAGTCACAGAATTATGGTTATATACATTGTAAGGTGCTTTTGCCTTTATTTTTTGGCCCAGCCATGACTCATGAATGCTTTTGTAGGCAGAGGTAGGATAGCATTGACCTTTAGGACAGAAAAGGCTAGAATTTAAAGTATTAATCATTTGTGATGCAAATACAATTTTGAACTCTCAAGAATGGCATTGTTTGTGTACAGAATTACTACTTTAGAGGAGTAAAATGGCATGTAAACTGCATGAAAAAATACATTGGTTTTGTTCTCTGTTCCAGAAAAGGATTTTGGATGTACTGGCATAGGAGCGTAAATACAGCTATCCAGAGACTAGTTTTAAAAAATTTGACTCCATATTTAATCCTTTTATTTTAGAATATATTTTAAAAGAGATGATATAAAGGAATAGCATTCATTAATTCAGATGCTCTATAAGTCAGATTGGGAGTCAGTTAACTAGGGAGATGACTTGTGGTGTGGCAATGAGTGGTGCTTCATAGACTCTCTCCCTTGTAAAACAAGTATGAGTTGTGAAAATTCTTTTAAACAACAAAGCTAGTGAAAATTGTCCAAAGGCTGTATACAGCAAGCACAGAGAAATTTATTCAAGGCTCGATGTTCTGCTCACATGAAGAGTACAGCCAAGAAAACAACTAGGATTACATGGAAAGTAGCCATGCTTTAGAATCAACTCAGTAGCAATGTGTATGTTTGTTTGGTTGGTTTTTATTTTATTATTTTTGTGTGTACTGTCAAATCAGGTCTGACTGGTACTGGAGGAGTTTGCCCCTCCTTCTCCAGCAGAGCATCTGGCAGATTCAAACCACATACCTCTGGGATTGCAGTGCAGCGTCTTGCCACTAGGCCACCAGAGCTCCTTAAGGGTTTGGTTTATTTTTTTAAAAACTGAAGCCCAAGGTGGGGCTGGGAGGAAGGGTGCAGACCAAACTAAAAGTGGTCTATGTAATAGAAAATACAAGAGATTAACAGAGATTATCATCTCATGTGAGTAAGTTATGAATTAGATAGCATAGGACTGATTAGTAGGTCCCTTGTTACCACAGACCAAGGTTCCTTCGATTTGCTTCACGATTTACAAAGATAACTGCTTTACCATTGACAGAGCTGATCAAGATGACCTTATCATTTACAGAGATTCACAGGATGGCTGTTGGCATGCAAGCTGTCACGTAGTACTGTGTTAGGCAGCAATGAGGGTCAGAACTTTGTACGTGATGTTAATGAGGAGGCAGTGTTGAAGAGAATGTTGATGATGTCCACGAATGGGGAGGAAGGGGAACTTTAAAACTTGGAGCACAAAAACCCAGATCCACGTGCCCTGTGGTCATTCTAACTCCTGGCTTACTCGTCGGGCTGGTGTTTTTCTGTCTAGATTCTGAGAAGAAACTGCCGCTCGTGTCAGAGGAGCAGCAGGCAATGAGCAGTTTAGCAGAACGCATCAGGCAGAGCATTCAGCACAACGATGTCCTCAAACCCATCAACCTTCTTGCACAACAAATGAAACCAGACAGTAAAAGACAAAGGTAATAGGTATTTTCTTTTTGGCTTGATGTCACTCAAAATATTTTCATGGTTCCTTTTAAAAACTGCTTTATGTTTTTAAGTATCTCTCGTTATAAAAGGAACATAGACTCATTGTAGCCATCAGATTGTATTATAAAGTGCTTATCCAATACTTGCTTTCATATGTGAGCATAGGCATATTAGACAGTATCTGCATAAATAGATAAAATTGTATGAAGATAATGTATTGATGTCTAAAATATGGTGAGTCTTTGGGGAACCAACACAAGTGTTCATGGAAATCTTGTACAGATTTAACATTGATTAACATTGCTGTTAAACATACATGCCACTTGTTAAAAGCCACACAGTTTTCTTTCTTGTGGGATGTATACAAATAGGGAACTTAGAGTAGAAACCATTTTGGTGAATTATACACACATGTAGAACTCTTGCTTTTCTTACTGTTTCTAGTAACATTCTGGAACAGTAGCCATCCAGCCTGGGCATCAATAAATTGGTCAGTGGAAGCCTCAGGAAAGACAATTGTCAATCCCAGGGAACATTCCTAGTGTTCATAGGACCTCCCTTCAAGTTCCATGGTGTCTTTCAAAGTAGTCTCAAGTGATAAGACAAAGGTTAAAAATGAAATAGGAGATGGAGTTGTAATTCAACAGCTTGGGTAGAAATGACCTTGCATATAGTCTTAAATGCAGGTGGTTTCAGACGTCTGTAGTTTAAGGGCAAGGAAATGATATTACAAGTATCATTTTGTGCCTTTTTTTTTAAGCTTTTTTTTTTTAAATTGACTTTGTAATGAAAGATTATAAAGAACTTGGATTTCCATTCATTGGTGCACATTTTCCTCTTTGCCCACTCCTTCCCCCAGTTCGTTTTTCTCTTTGAGAAGAAAAAAAATTATTTCATTGTTATACAACCCCTCCCCTCCCAGTCCACTTCACTATGCAGCTCTTATTCTGGACTCTTGCCACCTGATTATATGTCCCTTTGAAACAGTTCTCTCCCTCATCTGTTTCAATGCAGTGTACATTACTTATCCCCTCTTTTCTGAGCTTTGTGGCTTTTTAGGTACATAAAATTAGCTCATGTCCCAAGTTTCCTCTAATCTTCATGTTTAACAACTGAGCCATGAAACTAATTTTTAAATGTTTCATTTATGTAATTTTTATGCTCACAAGCTAAAGGTGTTTTTATCTTTTTTTTGTGGCATGAATGATAAAAAGAATTTACCACTTTCACACTGTGATAAAAGTTTTAGACCTATAGAAATTAATATTATTTTGTCAAATGGCGGAAAACCAAAATGAAAGAAGACTGACTTTAAGTTTAATTCAAAATTAGAGGTGGCAAGTTCGAGCAGGGTTGAAGTCTGTTGTTCACAGGGTCACGATGAGTCGTAGTCAACTCGATGTCACCTAACAACAAAACCAACCACAAAGATTACTCATATTTTTAAAAATTTGTAGTACGTAGAACTTTTTTTTATTAGATTGAATTGAAAAATAGATTTAAAAATATTTAAAAATGAGATTTTTTTTGTTACTAGCTTTGAATCCTTAGGCTCATTTTATAACATTTTATTTTAAAATAATTAAAGACTCACAAGAATTTTCCAGAATAGCAGAATCTGTTGTATCTTTCACCCATCTTCCCTTAAAGTGGCATCTCTTACAGCAGTAGTACAATTTCAACCCAGGATGTTGACAACTGAGTTATCACTATTTTTTTAAACTTGTGTGTATGTATGTGTTGTTGAGAGGGAGGTATGGTTTTGTCCTAGAGGTGTTGAAGAGGAGTAGGTTCACCCTATTTGTCTATTAACTTTTAAAATATGTTCATTTTATAGGAGTTTATACAGAGAAATCCTTTTCTTATCATTAGTGTCCCTTGGAAGAGAGAATATTGATATTGGTAAGTGGGTTAATGATAGTTTATTAAGGGAGGTTTTGGGTTTTATTTTATAATGCAGTATTTGGAATTGTAGTTGAAGCGTAAAAACACAAGTTGCCTTTAAAAAAATTTTTTAGCTCAAAATATGTACGTGTAAATTTAACTTGATCCAGTATCATTTGTAAATGTATATCTTGTTTTCTTTATAAACAAGTTATAACTAACTTCTGGAAAATATCTTTCAGAGGCTTTTGACAACGAATACAGACTTGCATATAAAAGCCTGTCTTCAGAAATTCTTGAAAAACTGCAGAAAATTGATGCCCCACCGAATACCAGTGTGGAGTGGTGTCGGAAGTGCTTTGGAGCGCCTCTCATTTAAAGAAGAGATGAACTCACTCTTGGGGACAATATACAATGAATTGTAATTCATACTGAATCATCTCGAAATGTAAAATGATATTAAAATGCCGCAGGGTTTATGGATGTTGAGGGTTTCAACTTCTGAACTCTTTTTTCAGACTGCTAAAAATTATTTTTGGACTTCTCAGTATTGGTATTAGTTTAATATTGGTGAGAAACCATACTCCTCGTTATTTTGTTAATACATATTTGAAGCTGTTGGGTTTGGGGAGAGGCAAATCAGTGTACACTTGCCTTACCCAAACCCAGATGATAGCTCTCGTAAGAGCCACTGTGTTCTATGTGTGTATGTGTGTGTACATATATGTGTGGCTGTGTAACTATATATGTATACAGCCATATTATAAGTATATATTTATTATACTCTTAGATTACGTGTTGCAATAGTTTTCTGAAAGGCATTCTCGCTGTTAAAAAATGACTACTCCTAGTCTGTAGTCATTTTCTCAAAATTATCTGAAAGTTGATGACAACTGCCTTGCCTCTGACTTTGAAAATGTAATTTCATCATTCCTATTATGTATTAGATTGCTTAATGAATTCTATTTTGAGTATCGTTACTTCCTTCCCCACTACCATACTAATTTGCAGTAGCTTTAAAATTGGATTGAATTAGCCAGTTAAATAATTGAAGTAAAATTAGGTTGGCTTCATACAAATTTACAAGATTAATTGGAAAATGCTTGAAATGCTTAAGTGTAATATAGTCTTTCGACCTGAAATCTTTGTCCAGATGTAAATCCTTGCTCTTGCTCACTTTTTAAAACCTGTGGTAAACGTGCATTGCAGTTGTAGTCTTTTATAACACTTACATGTGTACGCTTATGAGTAAAATGTGCATTTGTCTTTTTTTTTTTAGGTTGAATCAATTTAAGTTCTGTAACTCTATGCTTATTGTCAGTAGACTTTTTAAAAAAATCATGACCTCATATGCCTCACTTTTGAGTTTTATCATGTCGTTTATTAGATTCAACCCTCAGAAGCAGAACATTTGCCTTAATTCATGTTCTGAAGTTTTAAAAGCCAGTGGTTGTGCGGTGATGATGTGGTTTAAGGTCGTTATGCTTTGAATTATGCAGATGATAAATCATCTGAGACAAACATCACCCTCACTACTGGGCAGTAAGTCCCTCTCTACCTAGGATAAGCAGTTGTTTGTCATTCTCATTTGAGAATGACTCTGACCTCATAGTGTGAGCGAAAGAACCTGTCAAATTGTTTCATTATCATTACCCTCAAGATGAATTCTTGTTTTAGAGTATTTTTTGTAAGTTTTAATACTTACCCAATAAAAGGCTTGGCACTAGCTTGCCAATATTAAAGTATATACAGAATTGAGGTTGAATAAATCAAGAAAAATTCCGTTCACTGTGATTGTGTAACATTTTTAAGGCTTCTAAAACATGTAAGATTACTTCAGATCATTGTAGTTTTTTTATACTTAAGTAGCCTCTTTTCTTCAGTCTCCAGGACAAACTGAGTGGTTACTTAGGCTATTATGTGTATGCTTTCAAATAATTTTTTAATGAAGATATCCTTAAATATTATGTATATATTAGTTGGAGGTTTTTTTACTACCAGTGATAGTAATTGTAGTGTTTCTAACCTCTGTAGTAGTACCAATATCAGCTATCAAATGATGTATTTTCAAGTAACTTTATAACCTTTTAACTGAAATTTTAAGATGTCACTGTCTAAACCTTGGCGAAAAACTTTTAAAAGTTCCAACAAGCAAATTGCCATACTTCCTTGCTAATCTAGAATGGAAACATTGCTTTTTCTTACTTTTAAAGGCTTTCTGCATCCTACTTAAGACAGATTTACATCTTGGAAACCTTAGCCTACTGGCATGTCAGGTACAGGGGCTGATTTTATTATTGTAGTATTTAGTCACTTGAGCTTTTCCTTTATCTAATACCACAGAAAGGGTACCACTAACACTTCACAACAAAAAACAATGCACTACATATCAAATCCTATATGGATTTAGGAAATATTTTTTCCTCCTCCACTGACTTGAATCACAATTTGAAACAGAGCATCTGAGAAAATACTGAAACAAAGTTGATTCCGTGTCAAATGTGGCTGTATTAGATAGGTCGATTAAAACCACTGTAGGTTGTGTGGCTGAACTTGTCCACTTAAGTGGTTGTATTATGGCAATTTTAAGACGGCGTGGTTTTCATGTTTTATGTATCACAAGCAAGCAGGTACTAGTTGTCCCAGATCACATACCAGATTTGCCCTCCAGTTTTGTTATGAAGTCTTAATTTGCAATACTACTTTGCTACACTTTCCTTTTTCATATCTAAAGTTTCAAAATTCAAGTTCCAGTGATGTCAGTTGTCAGTGTGCTTTCCATTATCAACCCTCCAACCACCTGCATTTTGAGCAATGGGAAACTTGGATCAGGAAATGGTAGCATTAGCCTTACTTAGGAGTATATTTAAAGTGCGGACTCGGGGGCCTCATGTATGAAGTACCGAACTGTGAGCTACATTTCAGTCACATCTCCAGGTGATTGCATTTCTAAGGCCTCCTATAGTCTGTACTTTTCAGTTATTTGAAAATTTCATGAATGTCATCAAAGGAGCTTATTTACTTGAACGTTAAAGCCTAATGTGCCTTCTTTTGAAGACCCTGCTAGTCTGTTGTGTTGAATAGGTTTCAGTTACTACAGAAAGCTTACACGGTACTTTTAAAAAGTATACTTTTTTCTGTGCATCCTTTGTTGGTGCAAGTGTGTTTCTTATTTATATAAGCACAGTCAACTCCTTTTCAGAGTGTCAAAGAGTAAAGCATGGAAAAATTAACATTTCGCTAGTTGAAAAAGCTTTCTGTTAAATGCAATAAATTTGCACTGGTTTTAAAAGCTTTGTAAACTTTAAAAATGGTATCCATTAACTATGCTTTAACAGATCTTTTTTTTTTTACATATGACAAATGTCCATCTTCACAAGGGCACTTTTCATGTATTAAAATAAAATTTTGTATAGGTATGTAAGAAAAGCTGTATTCTTCAAAATAAAACTGTACAAAAGACTTCTAGTCCTAGTCATTGATTTTCCAGTTTTACACCTTTCTGAAATCACCTACTTAACACAGCCTTTCTAGAACTACCCCAAGTGTTCCTGCTGAACTGAGAATCCTAGCGACCATGTCTTGTGCCATCCTCATCTGCAGGATCCCACTGTTTCGGGCCTCCTTTCCCAGCAGCATCTTTTTCCAAAGCTCCCCCTCAAGGCCCGTCCAAAGCTCCCCATTCTCACCCAGAAGTATCCTGGCACTATCTATTTCCCCCATGATGTAATCCTGCCTTCACCCATCTCTTCCAATGTAGAATTTATACACTTGGAGAACCATTTTCTGAAAAACTGAATGCCCCTGGGCTATACTTGTGACTATCAGTTTTGCTCCTTTTATTTACACTTTCATCAATGAAAAGGCTTGAGCGTAAAGGAGATTCAATACGTGAGCTTATTTATTTGCCACACATAGGAAATTCTATTTCTGACTGGATTCGGATTTGGAGGTAGAAGCTCTCAGAGAGGACAGCCTCCGTCTCTTGGCGATCTGCTCCTGGCGTTTGTCTTTGGCCTCCTTCATTCTCTTGGCCAAAAGCTTAGCGTACTCCGCAGCCTCCTCCTTATTTTTCTTAGTGCGCTGTTTCTTCAGCGAAATGCGCCGGCGCTTGTGCTGCAGGACGCGTGGAGTAACAAGACGCTGAATCTTGGGCGCTTTGGTCCTGGGTTTCTTGCCTAAAAATGGAAATGACAGTAATTATCCAATACAATCCATGTTTTATTAGGAACAAAGAGACAACTTTTAAATTGTGTTGGGGTGTCAGTGGCTGAGTTCCCATTCCTCATTCAACAGCTTATGCTGTACCAACTAGGAACATTCTTGAATAGAGGTCCCTTCAGAAGTAATTCTTCTGGGGAGCTCTGGTGGCTTAGTGGCAAGAAGCTACACTGCAATCCCAAAGGTGGGTGATTCGAATCAGCAGACAAGGAGGGGCCGTCTCCTGTACCAGTGGGATCCAGTTCAACAAGGGGGAAGGGAGGAAGGCAGGCAAGAAGCTGTGCTGCAATCTGAATAGTTCTTTTAGCTGTGAATAACTTAGGGGAAGTGGTAATTCTAAAACTTAAGACTGAATTATTCACATTCTACTAAAAATTAGGTAACTTGTTATTGTAGCTTAAAATACCCAGCAACAAGACCACCTGCTGCTTTATGGACAGAACTATGTGGGGACTGCCAATTTTATTGTTCAACATGGGCTTCGTAATAGTAGGAAATTTGTCGTTTTCTACCATACCCTTAGCACCCAGAACATTACATGGCATAGAATAGAAATTCAAGGGAGCTCTGGTGGCCTAGTGGCAAGAAGCTGCACTGCAATCCCAGAGGAACATGGTTTGAATCCACCAGATGCTCTGCCGGAAAAGGAGGCGCAATAGCCTCCTGTACCAGTCAGATCTGATTTGACGGTACACGCACACAAAATAATAAAAAAGAATAGAAATTCAATGAAAAAAACTGAACATCTCCTAGGTTCCTCATTCTGAAAACCACAACCTAAGCTGTATGGACACTATTCCATTTAGTGTGGACATTCATACACTGCACTACAGAAAATACGACTACACAGCTCTGCTGTTACAGGGCTCATTGATGAATATACTGTCCAATAAATTTGCATAAAAATGCAAAAAAATTACATACACATTATAATTCTTAACACTGATTCCGTAAAATGTTTTGTTTCCATATTTTTTATTCTCACCAAACCCATACCTATAGCTCACAAACCGAAGGTCAGAAATAAACCAAGGTCTGTTAATGACTGGAAGCAAGACAAGAACATGGTGGTAATATCTGTATCAACTAACTAGAATCATCATCATCCTGTCCACTTCTGCTGGAATCCTTTTCCAAGAAAGCAATTTTCAGGCCTGTTAACACTAGGATAGATTAACATTTAGCCCTTTTTATAAAAACTTTCCTACAAATCCCGGCTTCTACGTCAGCAGTGCTGATTGTCACTGGCCATTACAGCATCAATCCTGCCTCCTTACAATTCCAAAGGCTAATGCTCCAAAACAATGCTGAATTTTTTAGTAACCACATCATCTGGTAGAATACCAAATGACAAAAATTAAGGTGGCCTAGTGTTAAGGGGCTACGCTGCCAACCAAAAAGCAGAGTTTCAATCTACTAGCTGCTCCATGGGTGAAAGACGAGCAGTCTCTTCCTGTGTGAAAACTCGCTGGGTTGCTTCTGACTCGATGGCAATGAGTGAAGCGAAGCTGCTAATTTCTTACCTTCTTTGTTTAGTGGCTTTCTCACAACATATTGACGGACATCATCTTCCTTGGAGAGGTTGAAGAGTTTGCGAATTCTGCTGGCTCTCTTGGGCCCCAGGCGACGTGGCACAGTGGTATCAGTCAGTCCTGGGATATCCTTCTCCCCTTAGAAGGAAAAAGAAAATAAAAAAGACTTTATAACAATGACCTAGTAACTCAGGATCACAATAATGGGAAGCTCTAGTGCTGTGGTCCATAGGGCGACCTGGCCTGCGCCTCCACAGGAGAAAGATGGGCTATCTCCTGTCTGATTTACAGCCTCCAAAAAACAGCCATGCGTTTACATTTAATCACAATAATATAACAGTTCCTTTGGTCATTAGCAGGAGAGTGGTTGCTGCGTACCATCAAGTTGGAACCAACCCACAGCTGACCTTCCAGGTTTTCAGAGGCAGTTAATCACACAGGAGATTGTCCATACTACTTCCACAAAGCAACTGGAGGATTTGAACAATGTGCCTTTGGGACTGCAGTGCAGGTTCTTACCACTGGGCACCTGAGGAAGAGACTACAAAATGCACCTGGATAATCAAGATTTCAATAAAAACTGACCTACTAAGATGACAAGTAAACCTTACCTTTCTTGACAATGACCAAGTTGAGAACACTCAGATTGGCATCCACAATGCAACCCCGGACAGATTTGCGCTTCCTCTCTCCGGTTCTCCGTGGTCTGTAACAAGAGTGCCCCTTACTCAGCAGCAGACGAACTCGGCCATGGGTCAAGACACCCTGCTTCATGGGGAAACCTTGCTTGTCGTTTCCACCGCTGATCCGGACAACATATCCCTGTATGAAAACACAACATACTTAGCATTTCTAATCCAAATGTATACATCACCCCAAGTGGGGGCCCCTAGGAACCAGACCATTAGTTTATTAAAAAAGAGCAAACCGAAACTTAACCTTTATTTAACAAATAAAATTCCTTTCAATCAAGTCACACTCCTAGGCATGGTTACTAAGAAAAGCAGCCCTAGGAAGGGCCAGGATACTTAAGAAATTAAAATATTAAAACAGTAAACATAGGGAGCTCTGGTGGCCTAGTGGCAAGATGCTGCACTGCAATCTCAAAGGTGTACGGTTCAAATCCACCAGATGCTCTCCTGTACCTGTCAGATCTGATTTGACGGTACACGTAAAAATAATACAATAAAAATTAAACAAACAACAACAACCAAACAGTAAACATGAGAAACAACTCCTGTCCCTTATTCGGACCTCATTCCCAAAGGCCACGGTCTAGCTCTCATTTACCTTCCACTCTTCACCGAGGGCGTCCGCAGCAACTTCTGTGGCCATTCGCTTCTCATAAAACGTCCTAAGTTTGCGTTCATCGTCCACCTCAATGAGTTTCTGGCAGCCAGTGGCTGGGAAAGAGATGTTCAGCTAAGAATGGAAAATAAAGATAGTGTTGTCGTTAGGGTCTACGAAAACCACAGATCACTAAGTAAAAAGTCTCCCGTAACACCATTATCTGCAGAAAATTCCCAATAGTTGTTCCACCAAGCACGCGGAAAGCTCAGCACGCGACAACAGTCTAAAGAAGACAGCTCCACCCTCAAACCCCGGGTTAACGACTTCGCGGGTGAAAGGCGTTCCTACATTGATCACCCCCTAAAGCAGAGTCCGATCACAGGAAGGCCTGTCCCGGCGGCTCTCGAGGAGCCACCATGGCGCTTCCCAGTCCGCCGCAGCTCCTGGTGCAATCGCTCGTCATCCGCCTTCCTACAGCGCCCTGGTCTCCAGGAGCAGATCAATCTCCAACCCCAGAACCCCCCCTGCATCTACAATCGAGATATTGGCGTCCAAGTCTGCAGCAGCGCAGAGCTACAAAGCTCGGATCAAGATGCCCACGGCACACTCGGACGCTCGCCATTAGGTCCTACCTTCATGGTGAAGCAGCCGACAGCTCCAAGAGCGCCACGAAAAAGAGACTAAACTTCCGCTCCGTGCCGGTCACATAGGAGCCGTCAGTTCTCGCGAGATGATAAGACGGCTGGGAAAGCGGAAGTAAGGCGGATCACTTCCGGGACAGGAGCAAAACCAGGAAGTGTTGCAAGGCGGGACTTGCCGGGTGAGCGCAGCTGTCAGCGGCGGTGAGCCGGTGCCTGCGCCTCGTTCTCTGCGGTCCTGACCCATCCATCCTGCGTTCTCCTGGGCCTGACACCGGGTCCCAGGCGGAAGCCCCCCGCGTCTCCGGGCTCTGCTCTTGTCGATACTTAACGACAACGGGCGGATCAGTTGTAGGCTTGTTCTCTCTTCAGTCCTCACTTTCTTCAAACTCCGTCCAAAGATTTCCCTTTCAGGAGCGGGTTCCGATGGTGGCCTCGGCGATGCACCGTCAGGACTTACCCTCAAAGTGGTGATTTGCTTCCCGCCGTAAATATTCGAGGATCACTTGTCCTTTCTAGTCGCTCAGCTGCCCTTGGCTGGTGACAAGCGAGTGACACTTTGAAGCCCCTCGTGCTCGCCGTTCAGCCTTTTTAACAGAGGCCTCTTCCCAAATTGTTTTCTCTGCTTTTCTGTGTTTCCTCATCGACTTGAGAAAGCCAGCCGGTACTTTTTTTTAAACGTCTGTGTACGTCACGCGTTTGCCAGGAATTGCACCAATTACGGCAATTGAATCCAAGCTGTTTACTTGGCCTCATAATATTCCAGACTCAACTACGGCCATTCGTTAATTAAACGCAGGCCTTTCAGACTGTCACCTCGCAAGGGAGGCCTTTTCTGACACTTAAGGCCGGGCTTCCGTCTTTGATCTCGTTGTTTTTGTTGTTTTGTATTGTCCAGTCGAACCGACTCATAGCTGACCCGCTAGCTGCTTTTCGGGGGCTGTAAATCGCATGGGCGGAGATTGTCCATCTTTCTCCTGCAGAGCAGCTGGTGGATTCCAACCCAATTCCAAAGAGTTGGCAGCGCAACTTTGAAAACTCAATGCAGTCCATAGAACATGGTTGTTTTCGTCCCCTGGTGTCGGAACCAGCTCCTAGCTGACCCTCCAGCAGGTTTTCAGAGGCTGTCAAGAGCACGGGAGGAGATTGCCCATCCTTTTTCCAGCTTGTGGGTTCCAAGGGCATGCAGTGGGCAGCGCGGAACACCCCTGTTCTAGTGGCCTCATCCGAGGGGAGCTGAGCTACCAATCCAGAATGCCGCGCCTCTCCCGGGGCTTGACTCCACCCGGGTCTCCGCAGGAGTAAAGCAGACAAATTCCCGTGGGATTTCCAGGCTAGATTCATACCAGAAGGCTGAGAGGAGAGAAGGTGGCCTGTTGGAGCTGAGGAGTCCCTAGAGGGCGCACACGGTTAAGCACTCAACTACCAACCGAGGGGTTAGCAATTACAACCCACCCAGAGCTGCTTTCCTAGACAGACCTGGGAATCTTACTTTTTTGAGAAGTCTCGGTTTTGAAAACCCTTTGCTTCATACAAGGGGGTCACCATAGAATATAGCCAGAGTAAAGGGAATGCATTGTGGTCAGTGAACACTGCTGTAACTCTTAGGAGTACAGAAAAATGGGGGAAAGGTAGAGTGCAGTGGAGTAGACTTCCAGAGCATTCCCAGGAAAGTGAGGGTGGTTCCAAAGAAAAAAGCTAACTGAGGGGGAGAGGGGCAGGGAGGAAAAAATGTGCAACATTGAGTTAATGGAAATCCAAGTTCTTTATAAACTTTAATTAAAATCTCAATTAAAAATAAAAAAGAAAAATCAGAACTAAAAAGAAAATGAGGGTGGTGAGCCAGGCAATATAATCTGAAGCCGGTACTGTGATATCAGTATAATGAAAAAAGTCATTATTGTCTGTTAAATAATTGTTGCTGTCAAGTCAATTCTGACTCATAATGACCTTATACCTAAGGATTTCCCTAGGTAGAGAGCAGCCCTGGTGGTGCAAAGGTTCAACTAACTTAAAGGTTAATGGTTCAAGCCCTCCAAGTGCGTTGCTGGAGAAAGCTGTGGTAGTCTGCTTCAGTGGAAATTTCAGCCTTTGAAACCCTCTGGTGCTCTGATCCTTTGCCCTGTAGGGATGCTATGGCTTGTCTACTAAAACTTTGTTCTGTTGGGTTTTTTTAATTCCAATTTAAGTAATAAAAGAACTTTTACTATACACTGAATCTTGTCTGGCCATCTGATATTGTTCTTATGTGCCGTCGAGTCGCCTGCAACTCAAAGCAACCCTGTCTGCAACAGCCCTAAACCCTACTCTGTCCTGTGCCAATCTCACTGTCTCTGACACATCTACCCCCATTACCCCAGTCACTGAATCAATCCATCTCATTGAGGGTCTTCCTCTCCTGTGCTGCCCCTCTATCTTCCCAAGTATGACATCCCTCTCCAAGGACTGGTCCCTCCTTACAACATGTCCAAAGTATGTCAGATGGAGCCTCAGAATCCTTGCCTCCAAGGAACAGCCTGGTTTCACCCTCTCAAGAGAACCTGTTTGTACTCTTTAGAAGTCCATGGTATATTCAATACTCTTCTCCAACACCACAGTTCAAAGGCATCAATTCTTCTGTCATCCTTGGTCATTGTCCAGCTTTCTGATGCATAGCAAGTGATTGCAAAGACCATGGCCTGTGTCAGGCACACCTTAGTCTCCAGATTGACATCGTTGCGATTCAGTACTTTGGAGAGGTCTTTGACATCAGACCTTCCCAATGCAATTTGTCTTTTAATTTCATGGCTGCTGGTGCCAAGAGTGTTGATTGTAAAACCAAACTAAAGCTATTGACAATCTCAATCTCTTCACCATCTATCATTATGTTACTATATTTAATGCATGATACAAGTAACCGTTAAAGTGCACAATTTTCTGGCATTTAGTACATTCAAAACATTCAACAAAAATTAATTCCAAACCATTTTCATCATTCCTAATTTAAACCCCTTTCTGTTTCATATGAATTTGGAGATAAGCTTTTCAATTTCTGCTCAAAAAAATATCTTTGAGTTTTCATATGTATTGCAATCCATCTGTGGACCCACCTTATACCAGTTGTGAAAAATTAACCCAGAAAAGATCAGTGACCTAAAATGAGAGCAAAAATCCTAAAACTCTTAGGAAAAACATAGGAGTGAATCTTCAAGACCTTGAATATTATCATAGATTCTTAGATGTGGCGCCAGTAAATTTATTACTGTTAACTTTTTTCTATCAATAGATATTGCCATGAAAATAGAAGAGAATGTGAGAAAATAGTTGCCAATCATATAGAAGTTATTGGTTTAATATCCAGAATATAGAAATAGTTCTGACAACTCAATAAGACCCACCGCTATTGAGTGAGTTCTGACTCAGCAGAACTCCGTTTGAGTTTCTGAGTTTAAAGCTATGTGAGGAGTCCACGCAGCCCCTGTTTCTGTGAAGCATCTGATAGATTCAAACTGCCAGCGTTTTGATTAGGAGCCTGATCTGTTACATACTATGCTAACAGGCTCCTTCAACAAGAAAAAGGTAACCCATGCACACCCATGTTTAATGTAGCTTTGTTCACAATAGCAAAGAGCTGGAAACAACCCAAGTGCTCATCAACAAATGAATGGATAGAGAAGCTCTGGTATATTTACACAATGGAATACTATACAGCACTGAAAAATAAGGAACTCATGAAATATTATACAAAATGGATGACCCTGGAGGAAATTATGCTGAGTGAAATAGCTCAGTCACAAAAAAGGACAAATATTGCATAGGGCCGCTGTTGTAAAATGGGACTGACATCGGGTTAAGGGAAGACAGAGAAGGAGGGGAGGAATGATGCATACTGCATTGAAACAGATGAAGGAGATAACTGTTTAAAAGGGATATATCATTGGATATTATTGTCATGACAGGAGTCCAGGATGAAGGCTGTACAGTGGAGTGGACTTGGGGGAAGGATTGCATAACAAAAAAGGAGTTTTACTTTTCAAGGAGAAGAGTGAATTTGAGGGAGTGGGAGTGGGCAGGGAGAAAAGTGCAACAATGAATGAATGGAAATGCTAAGTCTCTGTAAACGCACATTAATATGATTTTTTTTAAAAAATCCCCCCCAAAAAAGGTAACCCAGTTAAAAGCTGACAAAGACTAGAACAGATACTTCTCCAGGGAATATCTATAAACAGCCAACCAGCATAATAGTTATTCATTTGCTCACTGCATTGAGTCAGTTCCAACTCAGTGACGCTTTAGGACAGAGTAGGACTGCTCCATAGGCTTTTTTAGGCTGTAAAGTTTTACAGGAGCAGACTGCCTTGTCTTTCTCCCATGGAGTGGCTCATGGGTTAGGTATTTTCAGTTTGCAGCCTAACTTTTAACCCTCTGTGCCACCAGGGCTTGTCTGCATTAGTAATTGTTGTAATATGCTGTCAAGTCAGAACCAACTCATAGCTGACTGTTAAGCAGGTTTTCAGAGGCTGGAATTACATGGGAGGAAATTGTCCATCTTTCTTCCAAGCAGCTGGAGGATTTGAACCACCTGCCTTTGGGTTGACAGTGTGACTCTCTACCCACCAGAGCTCTCTAACTAGATCGAAAACATCCTTAATAATGGTGAAGGGAAAAGTAATACACACTATCAGGTAACCCAGCAGGACATGCAGATGTTTGGAAAGACTGTCTTGAATCAGAAACACCTTAGTCTTTAAACTGACATCATTACGCTTCCAGACTATGGAGAGATCCCTGACAGCAGAATTTCCCAGTGTCTTCAGATCTCCTGACTGCTGGTACCAAGGATGTTGATTGGGAATCCAAGATGAAATTATTGACTATTTCAGTCTTTTCTCCGTCTGATATAATGTTGCCAATTGGCCCTGTGGTGAGAACCATTGTCTTCTTGATGTTGAGATGTAATCCATGTTGAAGGTTGCAGTCCTTGAGCCAACACAGCAAGTGCCTCAAGTCTTCCTCACTTTCATCAAGTGAGGTTGTGTCAACTGCATAATGCAGG